TAGTACCGACGGGACGGCAGAGGTGTGAGGGGCGCTGACGATTGCTCTGTCGTGTCCGGCAGCATGCCATCGACATGCAAATCATAATGCGCCGCCCGATTCAAATGTAGCTTAATCGTCCAGCACCATGTGCTAGATTCTTCGTCGTCGCCTGCGAGATGGAAGTGTAAAAGGCACCATTTCCCCATGTTTCTTCCTTTGCCTGCTTCCAGAGATCAGATCTTGTGTGATGTGACGTATCACGGGCACCAGGGTCCTCTCAGTGGTGGGCGGACACTGGCTAAGTGGCAGAAGATTTGACGGCGGGCTTGCTTCGGTCAAGAAGCTGTTGTTATTGTTGCTGATGGTCTGGCGTGCAGAAAGCGAGTCGCTGTTGCATGAGGCCACAACAGGGGGGGGTTCAATGAGGGTGGTGACACAAGAATTTGCCGTGCAATCTGGAGAATTGCGGGAATAGAAGATGTTGCTAGCATGGGGCTAGGCGGGTGCAAGACTTTGCTTCGAGGTCGATATCTAGATCTCGTTGGTGTGCGTCTGTGGGTTGATGTGATGCGCCATTAAGGTATCCAGGCTATGTCGCAACTTTGTCAAGCGTTGAAGTTGGGTGGGATCAGGCCTCGTATCTAGAGGCCACAACAGCCGCACAAGTTGAACATTTGGGGGTTGGTACGGATACAGGGGTGGCGAGCGATCCATGGCCTGGGAGGCGAGTGGAATGAGCTGAGGGCGACATAATTATTGCATTGTCGTCGATCCGTAGGCTCCTTGCTTTCTGCTTCACGATCCGGCCCAGCTAGGTACGGAAACGTATGCACTACGCAGGTGTGGGCGTTATGAATGCTCTTCTCGTTCAAAGTGGGCGACGTTGACTTGCTCCTAGGTGTCCTAGGTGCATTGTTGGAGGTCGTGAGCGCCAAAGAGCGAACAATGAGATGCTGTTCAGTGGTCAGCAAGGAGCCATGCATCTTAAGCCCTCGAGAAAAGGAGGAAACAAACATGTACATGCGGTGTGGTGTGGCTGGCGGGCGTAGTCGATGAACAGCCCGTTGGCCAAGGTGGTCAAAAGAGCCTGCACTGTCTTGGATTGGTGACGAAGGTGAGAAGATGGCGGGGATGGGATGGAGTTGACAGTAATGGGAAGCCTTCGCACTGTACGGTGTAGAAGTGGAGTCCCAGGTGAATGTATCGAGGGGCAAGTGGATCTTCCTATTGGCCAGCGGGAGAGTGCCTCATTTACACGGCCCAACCTGCATAGCATCGAATCTTCATCTTCACAACTGCAATGGATGACACGGCACAGTGCTGAGGTGGTAGCTCCATTGTCTTCGGCTTCTTCTCTCCTCTCCTCTTTAATCCCCGGTACGCCGAGTCGCCGACCAACATTGAATGAGGTGGACCTGACGCAGGCTGCCTGCCGGAACGAGCTGCTTCCCACTGCTCTCACACACTGTGCCTTCCTGTGCCTCCGGCCCTATGAGGTAAAGGCAGGTACTCACACCCACCCCCCTGTACATTTTGGCTCTGCTCCTTTACTTTCAAGTTCACCAAGCTCCGAGACGTCTCCCTCTTCACATCAATCACAGGAAGGCTCGACGAGATATCCTCTTGCCGTGACTACAGCTGGATGTCTTTTTGGGCCTCATCCGATGCCTTGGGTCTCCGCTGGCTCGCTGCATCTCTCGCTGGCACTGTCGCTCCGAGGCCCTCACCGTCTCTTCAAAGGCACATTCAGTCCTCAGCCATACTGCATCGCGCCGCCATCGGGCACCCCTTCGCCCTTCGCCTCGTGTTTTTGTCCTGTTTCTGGCTCTTGCCTTGCTACACCGGTCGCTTCATCTCTCATGCCTCGTTCTGATGCTCGTCCGGAAACATTGTTTTGCTGGACAAACACCCACCCCTTGGAGGCCACAAGAACGCAAACCATGGCAACTATGCTGTTCAGAACCGAGGCCAGGCCCGATACTGTGTCTTTACCAGATTTCAGACAAGTTACTGGCCTCGCTCGCTCTCTTAACACTTTTGTGGCCCAAGCCGGTCATCTACTCCAACAAATAGCTATCACGGCTACATGACTGACTAGCCAGCAGATAACCCAGACTGAAGACCAGTGTTCAATACTCTAGACTACTCCGTACAGAAGCTCCTTATACAGCACATGAGTTGGGAGTCCGGGTCATGACCAAGACCACTGAGCATGAGTCTTGACCGGACCGTGTCCCGAACCCGCTCCATGTACTACTTTGTACCTCTAGGGTCTTTCTGGTACCATACGACGGCTTGCCACATGTTTTCTCTTTCGGTGTCATTGTTGCCAAGTTATCTTGGGATGAGCCATGCCTCCGGATCACAATCTATCGCTGACTATTCGGGTCAGGCGTCCGACTGCTGGTATCAACCCTACTTCTTCCCGGCCTAACATCCCAGGAATGTCTCGCAGCGCGACCTAGCAGGACGACAGGAGAGCCAAACGGATCGTCTCTCTTACATATCCGGTCATCAACCCCCTGCAAAGCAATCAAGCATACACAGGCCACTTCGACAATGTAACAGCCGCTGCAGCGACTGTGAGGGACCGGGTCTTTTCTATCGGACACTCGGTAACAAAGAAGCAAGTATGCAGAGAGAGCTATCAAAAGGTTGTGGCTCTACTCCCCGGTCCTACAGAACTCTCCCGCCATATGTGGCGTCCGCGCCGCAGACTCGACAGGGAGTGCATTTCCAATAAGGCTTCTATCAGCAGGCTTTCTTGCCTAAACATTTACGAGGCCTGTGCAGTGGCGGGAGAAGACAAGGCGGAACAAAATCTGAAGGGGGTGAGTAGTTGACAGCGGCCTACTACTTCTCGTCTCATTCGACGCGGGTATCTAGGGCCTTGACTTGGCTTATAATGAACCACCCCCGTCTCTGTACGGCTTGCGGCAGAAGGACCCGGTATGCTGGTTGCCTTTGCGAAATTGTCAAAAAGGCGGTCAAGGGAGAATCTTACAGCTTTTGTTCTACGAAGAGCCATCTCTCGTCAGCTTCAATCCCTCGATTCTCGCTCCCGACACTTACCCCCCGATGCTCTCTCGGTCTTTGCGGAATTTGTCTCTCGCGCAAGGTCAACCCGGCAAGCCCAAGCTCCTGAGTAAAGGAGCGGGTTGGCCGAGTAGCAGTGAGAGTACCGGCCTAGATTTCTTTGCGCCATTCCAGCAGCAGGAAAGTCACTTTGGCTTGAATATCAGGCATCGTGACTACCGAGCACACCATGCCCCCTGTCTTTGCAGGACTGTACCCCTTGGGGCGGCAACATTCATTTCAGGTGACACAAAGAGGGCTTTAGCCGAGAGGACTTCCACATCATGAACATTTGTCAGGCAGGAAGAGGAAAGGGACTGGGCTGTCTCAGTGAGGACATCCGGCATAACACAATAAGGATCCGATCACTGTCTGTCGGTCTCGAATACCAGGCTCGTTTTGAAGAGCCACAGCGTATCGCTCAAGACACCAGATTCGGTTGAGTCATGGTATAGGCAAATCTTTCGGGACCGATGGCTCACATGTCGCAGATCGGATAGTGGATGCTACGGCCTTGGTTGTTTCGAGGCTACACGGGGCACATGAGCAGTCTTCTTGGAGCCATTGCCTTGGGATCGTCACGACATCCACGGGCTGTGACTGCCCATCTACCGAAAGGCCCCTCCTCGACGGCCTCCCTAAGGGTAGGGTTCTTATCACGTTGCCTTTGATGTCGAATCTGGCCAATGTTGGGACACAGATTTCCGAATTTGTTCGCTTTCTCCTTCCAGATTGGGACTGTCAATCTCGAATTGTCAAACGTACAAGACTCCGTCAGCAAGCCTTTTTGCCACCAAGCGCCATGTTTCGTCTCCATGACTGGGCCCCTGACCATGTTGTGTAAGGCATCTTACTTCCCCGCTGAAGGCCTCCGTCACAACACAATAGGATGATTGGCAAAGGATCAAGAGCGGTCGATCACCCAGGTTGCCCGCCCTGGTCGCCCTCGGACATCCCTGAAAACCGTCCCAGACTGCCCACAAATCTCTGTCCGCGGGCTAGCAGCATGCTCCTGACCCGTCTGTCGTCTTGAGCGTACAAGAGTACCAAAACTTAAAATGTCGCGCCATTTACAAAAAGCCAACGACGAACACCGTGTGCATCCAAGACGCACGTTGTTTCATAGGGCCAGTTTCAGGCCCGCCTGTCAGGAGCCTGCCATGGGCTTTTGTGGATGCAACGTTGGACGGGCTCTTTATGATAGACCCATGGATCCATCGGCTACCGGGCCCTTTTCGACGTCGAGGCAAGCGCTGCCACGCTTTCGACGTGGCTTACCTGCCTGGGGGGTATCATAACAGCTCTGGTTCGTACGCCAACATCTGGGTCCAGAGAAGGCCTAGCCCTCGATGAGGTCAAAATGATGCGATATCTTCAACGGGCTACTGACTCGTGATTACGGTAGCCCAATAGGATGACGTGAGGAAATTCAATCGATAGAGCCAACTGTGCGGCTACCCGATTCTTCAAGGCGCGTAGCAAAGTCCACCTCGCCCGGCTACCACCATCTTCCCAGTATGGGTCCATCGATGATTCGAGACAGTTGTTGACAGCAACAGCTGAAAACACACAAGACAGACAGCCTATTCTGAGCCCGGGTAGGCTCAAGAACGTCACACAAACACTATCTGGCCACGAGGACGGATTTGGCGAGTATGATGAGTTGTGATATGGCGGCTTCTTGCATCGAAACCGCCATAATAAGCCAGTCCCAGATGAGAGGATGGGATGAGGTTCAATGGAGGCATCGCCATTCCTCGGTGCCGGTGGCGTCCATGACATGCATTGCTCATCAGTCACGCCCCGCATTGAAATGCCCGCTCCATGGCCAGTTGTTGATGAACTCTTCTCCTAATCGACCAGCACGCCTCCGACAGCGTCCCTGAGGTTGACCTTGGTGTACTATGGGTCCCATATTGGTGCCTAGGCCGTTCATCTGAGTGAAAGTTGCGCCGCCTGTACTGTCCATGACGCCAAAGATCACCGCGTACATAGCAAACACGATGCGCCAGGCTTGCTTGCCGTATTATGCGGATGGTCAAGCAGGGCATGCCTCATCTTGGATAGATTCGGGGCATGGCACGCCCTGAAAGGTGCCCTCATCTTGGAGTCCCCCCTGCTGAAACATTACGCCGAAAAAGGGGTGGCACAAAGATGGCGGATGTAGTCTTAAACTCTATGATGTTGTTAGGTCTAGCGGCAGTCGAGTTTGCAAGGCGAGGACCTTTCTCACATTTTCGTAAAAGTGATGGAACAGAGACAATGGAAGTTGATTGGGAGACGAGTAACCCCCAGAAGGCCTGTCAGTCGGGCCGTAGAGGTTGTTGCTGTGAAGGGGGCCCGAGTCAATTCCATTCCATGTCCGAAGTGGGTCAAGCCACAAGGTCGTCAATGTCAATGGTTCAGGACCTGCCGAACCGGTCGACCGGCAGAACGGGTCCTGCCCGTGTCCGGGCCGGGGCACCTTCTTCGCGCATCCGAACGCTCAGACCATGCGTTTGCCCCAAGGTGGAAAGGACCTGCCGCCCGACTCATTCAGTGATTGAGCACTGAGCAAGGGCACTGGGGAGTCTGGAAGTCCGTGTAAAACCGGGACTCAGTCTGGACTCTACGGAGTACCTGAGTGGAGGGGAAGCAGCGTATTAGCGCTTGTGGGCGGATCTAATTGACAACTGGCGGAAGCTGACAAACAATAAAACGAGGCGCATGAGGGGTGCTTATCCCATTGCAGCATGACGTTTGTAACGTTTCCCCCCCTTCCAAGCCACGCTACGGCCCTTATTCGATCCTAAAGCTAATTAGGGCATCAATCAATCCTTTGGTGAGCAACAACTGCCCGGGGAAAGCGAGGCAATGACTGTGCTGTTCTCATCTCGCCCTGCAGATTGAGCTGACTGACTGACTGACGGAGCTGCCTGTGACTCACAGCAAGAAAAAGAGAAAAAAGAGTAACTGGCGACTCATCTGGTTGTTGCTGACGCTTACCCCAAGGCGGATGCAAAAGGCGGCAACAACATTCCAGAGTACAGGGAGTACATAGCGACAAAGCCTCGCCGCCTGGAAGCTTGTTTGCTCTGCTCTGCAACAACGACGAGAACCTACCTTGGCTTCTCCACCCCCCGCCTCATCCCCTTCGGAAGCCTACTCTCACAGCTTCCCCCTTCCGTACCTCCATCTCTCGCCCGGGCATGACTAAGAAAAGGCATCAGGCGTTATACTCGAAGCCGCAGTCGACTGCCCCGTCTTCATTGGGTGCCTCAGCTTCAGCCTCCTCTTCTGCCCGTAAGTCCAGCTCCAACCCCACGCCCATCGCACACCCCCGGGCCGTGGTCCCCCTCTCTCCTCTCTCTATCCCATCCTTGCCTCTCCTCTCACCCAGGTCCTCTACGTGACGTCGCTTCGGCCACTGACAACGATGCAACACAGAGAACCAACGTAGGGGCGTCAACGAACTTTTGGCTGATCTTCGTCGATCATCCTCCCGTGCAACCCCGACAGCATCAGCAGCAGCATCGGCAGCGACCACGCCCACCGTCCCGCCCGCTCTCCGACAGATCCTCCAGATCCCAGAGACGCCTCCGCCAGCACCCAGGCGTGTCCCAAGATTCGACGCTACAGGCAGACGAGTACCACCCGGCCCGCCACCTCCACGCAGCTGGTTATCACGATCCGGCCATGTCCAGCGCGCACACGCGAACGCCGCCCACCGCGGCGCCCAGGCCATGGAGCGCCTGCCTGGCACGTACGAGCCGGGCAAGGGCAGCCTGATGGATCTCGTCCTTCGAAGGATGGCCCTGAACTGGGAGCTTCATAAAGATTACGATCAGTACTACTTGCACACGCTGCCCAGCCGCGTCAGGGCCTCGTTGGCAAAGTATGTTGGCGTATGGTACGAGGGCGGCGCATCCGCTGCAGACCTGCACAACATTCTGATTCCTCCTGCGGCGGCGCACGAGGGCCAGCAGCCACTTGACGTCGACGGCCTTGTGTCCCTGAACAACGACGTCTACTCCCTCGACCTGACTGGCTCGGTGGGCCACTCCATGACCGTCAGGGAGTTGGCCGACGTCCTGTTCCCGCAGCAGCTGGCGAGCGCCGCCGAGGCCGTGCAGGATTCCTGGGACACAGCAGAGGCGCCCTCGCTCCCGCCGAAGCTTCTCCCCAACATCACGCACCTCTGCCTCACTGTCGCCTCTAGCGCGCAGCAAGGCGGCGGGACGCCCGGCGTCTCATGGAAGCAGCTCCTCTCGCTCGCGGCGAAGCTGCCCACGCTCACGCACCTGAGCCTAGCGTACTGGCCCGAGCCGTCGCTGACGCCCAACGCAAAGTTCTCCAAGATTGTGTCGTCTGATGGCCGCGCCGAGACTTACTCAGGCACGGGAGCGTACGCGCACACTCTGGACGATGACTGGTCCGAGGCCGTCATTCTGCTGAGGAAGCTGAGCAAGTGCCTTTACGGGCTGGAGTACCTCGACCTCACGGGCTGCGGCGCGTGGTTCAAGGCGCTCATGGCCAACGTTGACGGTGACAAGGTCGACTGGACCGGGCCATGGGGTAAGGTCACAAAGTTGAAATTAAGATATGGGTATGAGTTCAGCGTAGATACGCCGATTGCGGACCATGAGAGGTTCCGTGAGGCGGCGCAAATGGCAAAGGCTATTGAGAAGTACATTGTAGCGCAAAGAGCTGGAAAGGGGAGATTCATCAACGTGGACAGTGATCCGATAGAGGATGTGCAAATGCCGTTGATGCCATTTATATTTTGAAGATGAGACATCAAGTTACAAATGATTCCCAACAAAGTCCTCAACATTCGGTGCTTTTAGTTCAGTGCAATTGCCACATCATGTCCCAAAGACTTTCACGCATCCTGTCCGCCAGCCTGCCGGCTCGCATCCCAAAGTTCTCTGAACCTGCCCTGCCTCTGGTCCAACAGCTCCCGAGGATTCCCGACCTCGACGACGCGGCCTTTATCGAGGACCACGACGCGATCAAAGTCGATGACCGTGTCCAACCTATGAGCGATGGCGATGATTGTGTGGTGCTTGAATTCCTCGCGGATGAGATCCTTGACCATTCGCTCCGTGTGAGCGTCAACACTATGTGGATTGTCAGTCAACGGCTTTCAGGAGCAATGAGGGGGGGCGGAAGAGTGGGGGCATAGAAGAGAGGGAGGACATAGAAGAGAGGGGAGATGAGCCTTACCTGCTCGTCGCCTCGTCAAGGAGGAGAACTCGTCCGACATCTTTCCTGAGAATCGCCCTCGCGAGGAAGAAAAGCTGTCTTTGTCCGTGACTCAGCGCTTCCTCCGCGAACTGAGCTTCCAGTCCGCCGTTGTCGCGGATGGTATCCCACAGCCCGACGCGGGTCAAGACGGAAACAAGGACAGTATTGTTAGCATCGGCATCAGCTTCCGCATCAGACACCAAGCCCAGCGGATCGAGATTCTGGCGGACCGTCCCGGGCAACACGAACTGGTCCTGTGTTATCGCGACGAGGGCCGATCGTAACGGCAGGAGCGGGAGAGCGTCGATGGGAATACCGTCGATGGAGATTGTGCCCGAGGAGAGGGGTAGGAGGCGCAGGAGGGCGAGGAGGAGGGAGGATTTGCCGCTTCCTGTGCGGCCTACGATGCCTGTTTTGGAGGCGGGGGGGAGGGAGAGGGTTATGCCGTCTAGAGCTTTCGCGGTGGCCGCAGGATGGCTCTCGGTGTCGGTGTCTGGATGAGTCTGATCGTACGAAGCTACGACGTCGTGTAGCTCGATGGCACCGCGGGAGGGCCAGCCCTGGACGATCGCAGTCTCTGGAGCCTTCTGCGTTTGCCCGCCGGCAGCAGACTGAATCATCAGGGCCTCCCTCTTGAGAGCATCCGCCTCAACCTCATCAGGCGTTTCCTCAGCAAAGTTCTTGATGCGCGCCACCGCGCCGATGGAGGTCTCGAGCGAGGTCCAGAATTGGATGAGCATCTTGAGCGTCTCGGTGAAGGAGATGAGCTGGACGAGGGAGACGCCGGTGAGGGCGACGGAGACCGTGTCGCGAAGGCGGACGGCGAGGCCGACGACGAGGAGGGCGAGCGCCGTGGTGGTGAGGTCGAGGACGAGGGTGAGCCATTGCTGGGTGAGGAGGAGGATGTAAAAGGGGCGTTGGGAGCGGTCTATGAGGGCGTGGGCGTGGGTTATGGAGGGGGTTGTGAGGGCTTGGGCGCGGAGGGTTGGGAGGCCTGAGAGGGTTTCGAGGAAGTGGGTGCTTGAGAGTTGGTTAGGTTACGCGAGCTTGGAAGATGACATCAAGGGGTTTAGGGAGGATAGGGTCTTACTAGACGGGAGCCTTCTCTTCGAGGTCTAGGAGGCGGAGTTGGCGGGAGGTGCGGAGGTAGGCGCGTTGGATGTAGTAGAAGACTAGGATCAGGACGGGGAAGCTAATGGCGATGTACCAGGAGGCTGAGGCTATGAGGAAGGCTTTGCCGATGCAGGTGAAGAAGCCTGTCGGTGACGTTTGGGTTAGATGTTGCCGCTATGGTTTGAGACTGGAGTGGCTTACTTGCGAGAGATATGACCAGAGCTAGAGGAAGGCTTCTGTCTATTAGACCGACGTCTTGTGAAAACCTAGGCTGTGGTTAGAGTGACACTGCAACATGAATGCGCAAACGCAAGCTTACCGGGTGGTGATGGATCCAGTATCTGTTTTCGTGAACAGAGATAGGGGCGCGCTGGACCAGTCATTAAGATTCACAGCCTGTCGCTGTAGGATTATGGCTGGTACTCACTGCATGACGGCTTTGAGGAGACGCTGGTGTAGACTGATGCCCGATTTTGAAGCCACTGGAACAAGAACAAACCTGAGAGATTGAGGTTGTTAACTTGTGATAAGTTAAATCCAAGGAGCAAGAGCTTTAGACTTACCAGATGAGGACGGCAAAGCACAAGACGCCGCTAACCTGGAAAGCGGCATATACTCCGAGGTAGTAGGCATCATGGCTCGCGAGACTCTCCGCCTGGGAGTCTGTCCAGAACTTCAACCACACGGCTGGTCTCACTTGTTAGCGATGCTTCTCTCGAGGGCCCCCGGCAAGAGTGTTGGTGAGACTTACTCGGAAAAGTCGAGAAGAACGCCCATGTCACCTCCAAGACCATCAAGACGGCCACGAGGGAGGCGCCGACGCTACCAAAGTAGTAGCCGTAGACGCTCCAGTCGCCCAGCTGCCGTCTTTTGTCGTCTTGCTGTTTTACTGTCTTGGCCCTCTTCTCTATAGGGTCGTCACTTGTGGTCCTGCCCGCAGGCTCTTCTGGCTGGGGGCTGCTCTCGTCCTGTTTCTCAGCGTTGGAGGAGATGAGACTCGAGACGTAGCCCTTGGCATGTAGACAATCTCCAAAGCTTCCTTTCTCTGCTATTTTGCCGCTCTCGAGGGCGATGATCATGTCTGACTGAGAAAGAAAGCTCACTGTATCTGCTTGTCAGCGATATGTATCATGAAGGATGATGAGTGTTGAGAGGTTGATACCTGACTGAGTCGCGAGAATGATTGTAGTCCCCCAGGTCCGAAAGATGCCAGTCTTGGCACCAAAGACGCGCTGGAACACTGTCCTAGCTGTATGGTTATCTAAGCCGCTAAAGATGTCGTCAAACAGAGCAATCTGAGGGCGGGAATAGATGGCTCTGGCAAGTGCCTAAACCTCGTTAGTCGAAGAGGACAAATTCAGCCCATGGAACTACATACGACACGCTGCTTCTGGCCGCCACTAAGAGCAATGCCCTTGCTTCCGATCAATGATTCATCTCCATCTGGCAGCTGAGCGAGTTCCTTCTCAAGATCGCATGCATTGAGAACTTGTTGATAGAGTTTCTGGTCAAAGTCGGAGAAGCAGATGATGTTCTTTCGGACAGTCTCGTTCTAAATATCTGTTGGTGATGCTCACACTTCCTCGGTTGTGAATGTACTCACAATGAGCCAGGGACTCTGCTCACACCAAGAGACGCGATCGCTGGATAGGGCAACCGTCCCGGTGACGTGTGGGAGCTCACCAAGGAGACCTTTCAGAAGCGTACTCTTCCCGGATGCAACTGGCCCCACGAGCATGACGAGCTGGCCTCGAGAGATGCTGAAGTCCATTAAATCAACTGCGGGAACTGCCTCGGGCTTCCATGCCAGCGTCGCTTTCACGCGAATAGCGATAGGGCCACTGAACTTCGTATCTGGTGAAATCTGCCCCTTGCTGCTCTCCAGATTCTGGAGTTGCACATCTTGAGAGTGGGAGCCCGTCCGTTCAGATGAGCTAGCAGGTGAGCCTGATGGGAGATCTCGATACTCTGCTCGCGGCGGCTCAGACAAGTACTTTTCGATGCGGTTGAAGCATCCCAAAGCTGCGCTCATGTCAAGAACGACCTCGAACATCCAAAAGAGCGGCTGGGCCAGCAGGATGATCAACGACAGGGCGGCGAAGAGCTTCGTGGCGTCGAGTACTTGACCGTTCTTGGATGCAATTGTCGTGTACATGGCAAAGGCCACGACGGGGGCGATCATAAGGGGTACCTGGGCGACGGCGGAAGTGACGGCGCCGATCACGCGAAAGGGAGTCGCCGCCCTCATCTCGACGAGCCGGAGGTCGGCCAGAGTCCGGGAGAGTTTCTGAGTTAGGCCCGACATTTTGATGCTCTTGATGTGGCCTATCATGGCCGAGGTGATGCCTTTGAAGGGGTCAGCGAAGTATGCGTCAGGGGAGAGGATGATACAGACCAATGCGTTTCTGAACCTTTTCAACCCAGAAGATCTGGCACTTCTGAGCAGAGGGAGCAAGGAATACGGTGGCGCCCAGCGCGAATACCGACACAATGATCGGACCACTGGCTGCGTAGCCGAGGTGAGTGCTGAGAATCCATGTGGCGAGGGCGATTTGAATGGTGTTGGCCCAGAACTCGTGAACTTCGCGCCAAGCACGAATGATGGCGTCAACCTGAGGGATGATGGTCAGTTTCAGTGTCGAAGATGGGAGGTGAAAATTTGCAACGACTTACATCAGTCGACATGAGAGTCACAGCTGCAGAGTCGTCTCCCGGGGCGACACGTAGCTCCGTCGTCTTGGTGTAGATGGCAGCGACCAAGAAGCCTCGGAGCATAGTCAGACACCGGAAAGCGGCGTGCCAGTAGAAGCTCGACGAGATGGAAATGCCCAGGTAGACAAAGCCATAGGCACCAATGAGGCCGTAGCCATAGTTGACCGTCTCGGAAGGGTTCTGCAGGAACTCAAGGAACCGGTTCAAGATCAGGGGCTGACAAATGGTGAAGCCGAGCAGGAAGAGCCTGGGAAGGACAACTGCCAGCAATTGCCATTTCAGCGTGACGATGCACGTCCTGATGAGACGGTACCTTGACGATCGTGACGCTTCACTAGACGGGTCGCCCGTCGAGAAGGACGGGGACTTGTTCCAGTGCAGCCAGAACCTCTCATTCAGCACAGCAGCCGACATGCACCCGTCTAGGACGAATAGGTCCAAAGACTTCAGGAGACGACGGAATCCCGTCAGCAGCAGCGGCGTAAGCCACCAAAAGAGACCGCGGCTGTAGATGCCGCTGGTCTCCTCGGGGCTGTACGACCGACCGCCACCGCCAGCCGTCGACGACGACGACGAGACGAGATAGCGCGTCTTCTCCTGGGCTTCGAGGATCACGATGGCCGTCTTGCACGCGAAAGACGCGGCGAAGACGGCACTGATGGCGACGCTTAGGTGCGACAGCCACATGGTGCGGAGGATAGCTCCGTCCAGCACCAGGGACACGAGGATATATGTATTCAGGATGGACGAAGGCTTAAGGCTCTTCGCGTGTTCTATGTACGAGAGTCCGGCAAACATGACGGTGGCCGCAAAGGACGCGCACGAGGCGGCGACGGAGACTGCGCGCAGACGGTTGCCGACGACGTCGCCGCGGCGGTGCGCTGACCACAAACCTAGGAGAACCAGTTGCAGGATGGCGAGGAGGGCGATGGCGGCCTGTTTTGTTAGACGGAGGGTGGTGCCGTTGACGGCGTAGGGGAGTTTGCCTAGGTAGCGGAACCGTAGGGGCGCAATGAGGATGAGGAGCGAGGCGGGGAGGATGGTGAAGAGGCACTGTTCCAAGGTCAGGGTGAAATCGAAACCGTCGCGACAATGCTGGACGATTGGTCCGAAGGCATCGTCGGCGGTAAGAGAACAGCCGTCAGAGGTTGAATTGGCCATGGTGAGTGCAGTATTCAATGATGGTAGGAACGAACACAAAATGGGTTTGGAGGAGCAACGAAATAAACAAGAAAAGGACTGAGGGGGGGGATCAGTCATTTTAAAGGACGGAAGATTAAGCTGCACGTTGCGGCACAGTCGGCCCAAAGAGTCTTCCCCTGAGACAAGTCTGTTTGAGCAAGGTAGATAAGCAGAATGACTAAGTCAACTAGCGTTCGTTGCGGGATTCGTATCAGGAGAGTAGATCATGATAAAACTAGCAGCACTCAAGAGTTGGGCAGAAGAATGAAGCTATTCGCAATGGCACAACACCGCATGTTGCAGCCATGTCGGACTGTGATCTTCTGCTTTGGATAACGATGCCGAGAATGGACATCTCTTGCACCTGGGCGCTGGGGCGAATCCACCGAGTGACGATCTACCTTAGCCTGGAACGAGTGCTTCCAGAGAGTCAAGGATCAAATCAGAGTTTAGCGCTGGCCAAGATGGGGGACTCGCGGTCTTCTGGGGCTACCGTTACGTTTAACTGCACCGGGAGACAAAGAAGCCTCCACAGGCGGTAAACAACCTCAGGAGCAGGACCCTTCAGAGTCTCGACTGGCTATGGACGCTCCAAAACTTGCTGTGGCATCCCTGTTCGTCTCCTGTTTTTGTTCTTCTCATCCAAACAGGTTTCCCGGGTGTCATCCGATGGACGGCTGGCGACAAGACCCTCGTCTAGCCGTATAAAGACGTAGATACGTACCTGGGTAATAGTGTGGGTCCAAGTGCAGCCCCCAATTGGGAAAGAAATGATGTGGCTCAGTAGAAAGACCGATGACGTAAACTTGGATATTGTCGTACACATCCACAACCCGAACGACAAGTCACCAACCACACACCCTTTCTTCCATGACTAAAATTCTTGGCCACGTCAGGCTCGACCTAGACTTGCTGTGTTGTTCAACGCCTCAGCAAAGCAAGATGATGTCTCCCTCCCTGTCTGTGGACTTTGTGGATTCTTGCACTTGTTTGTGGCACCCACGTTGTTCTAAGGCGCCCAACATTCCAACTACCGCCCTCGCTCTCCATCCCCCCGTAGCCTAATCCATTCTAATCATGGCTTTGCCCCTAGTCCAGTGTCCAGGCGAGTGACGCTGATGGGGCCGCCGGCCTTGTTCCTGTCCCTCGTCTCCATCACAGCATTCTTTCACGTCCACTCAGGGTCCCCTCGGTTGCATCATTGCCGGTCCAGGGTCTTGGATGGCTGGTTCGATGTGATTCACCCGTTGCTCCTTAGGCTACTTGCTCTCCGTCAATAAGGCCTGGACCCCTTTGCTGCCTTTAAAATCTTTCAGTCTCGGGTCTTTTGATTCTGAACATCACGTTTCCAAGTGACAGGCAGTACCTACCCAAAAGTCTCTCGACAAATCTCAGGTCCGCGGTCACGAAATCCGCTGTGTACCCAAACAATCAACCTACAACCCCGTCTTCAGCCAACATTTTTGCATTTGTCCAACGCGAGCGAGATCAGCCATTGCCGACAACATGCATTTCACCGTGATAGTACCGTTGGTACTGTCCATCGTGGCATTCGTCCTCTCCTTCCTCGCCCTCTTCGCCGGGCACAAGGAGGGCTTCATGGAGGACTACGACGTCGTCCGCCTCAACACCTCGACCCTGGGCCACAACCTCATCCCCACTGCAACCTCGGAGGCCGACCCTGCTTCAACCACCGGCAGCTTGCTCGACAAGTTCATCGACGGCGTAGGCGACAAGGTGTCCGGCATCCTCAACGACATTGGCAACGATGTTGCTGACCGCCTCGCCGACGAGTTGGGAATCTCCGAGTGGTACTCCCTGCATCTGATGGACGTGTGCCACGGCCAATTCTCACCCAACGTGACGGCGCCCAACGTCTGGCTGAACGTCACGAACTGCACCCAGCCGTCTCCTGGTCGTAAGTAAACCCCACTAGTACCTTAGTACCCTATCATCTCAACGTTGAACGCTAACATGGAGAACTAGCAAACGTTAATCTCACCAAGATGCTGGACCAAGAACTTGAAATTGGCCCTCTCAGCCTGAGCCTGTCCGACCTCAACTGGCCCGACACCATCGAGGACGCCATGGACAAGGTCAACAAGGCCCTCCTCGCCATTTTTGTCCTCTACGTCATGGGTATCGGCTTCTCGGGCCTCGCCATCCTCGGCTCGCTGGCTGCCTTCTTCCTCGGCTTCAAGAAGCGCACGACGCTCACCAACTTTGCTTTTACCTTTTTGGCGGCTCTCGTGCTTTTCGCTGGCAGTTTGGTCACGACGATTGGCGCGAAAGAGGGCGCGAAGCAGATCACGGACATTGGCGAGGAAGTCGGCATCTCGGCCAAGGTGGGGCAGAAGTTTATGATCATCTCCTGGGTGGCTTTCGCCGTCATGTTTGCGGCGTCCGTTTACTGGGTCACGCAATTCTGCGCCGAGAGGCGGTCGCGCAGAACGCCGCGCGGTTATACCGAGAAGCGCCATAAGAAGGGCAGCTTCTAGAATCGAAGCATTCTCTCCGGTTTGACTCGTCAGAGTCGTCAAACCACGGGTGCGCCTTTCACTTCTCTCAGATTGAGAAACCGCAGTACGAGAGCGTTGCATTTGAAACAATACCTTTGTCGTGTTTGCCCCGATAGCTGGCATATCATGGCTATTCCCGACATCACGATCCTTTTTTTTTTTTTTTTTTTACCTTGTTAGAGATACCATTGTTGCGATTAAATCCAAGAGTACACCATTTTATAGCATTATTTCTAGAACCACATCAATAAAGATGCTATCACTCAAGTAAAACCTAGCAATTACTGTGAACACCCCTGGTCCATCATGGGTGAGACCGCAGTTGTGATTATAATGTCCTCTGAGTAAATAAATATGATTCGTTTCCAGCTTCAAAACGAGCTCATGAAGATACCAGGATTATCAAGCTTTGTTCAGAGCCTCCAATACCCGACTCTGCCTTCGGAGGAGACCCACCCCCGGCTCCGGCGTCACGCACCCCGGAATGTGGGGTACGAAATTCCTCCCCAAACAGGCAACAACCACCATGTCTCGACCTTGGCCAAACGAACCCAACCTTGAACGTACCTTACACTTTAGGCGCTCCATACTTCGACTACATCTCACCTCAAGGACACTCCAACTCTCACGCTTCACCGCCCGTTGCACCGTTGCTCCAAACGCTCCTTGCGGCTTGTGACTTTCATAAACTCATTGCTCTCTCTCTCCCCTTTTAGACCTCCAAGCCCAGTGCGCCGCCGCCGTCCTCCTCCCCCTGTCAGTAGAAACTTGGTCTCAAGATGCCCTCCCTCCCGTTCTCGGACCGCATCTCCTCCGCGGCGAACATGCAAGGCCGCAACGACAACGGCGAAGAGGAGTCCCTCCTCGGACGAGGCCAGCAAAAGGTGCGGCGTTTCTGGGATGGCTTCATCGACTTTGCTCTGCAGGGCAATATTCTTGAGATTGCCTTTGGTTTGATGTAAGCGTCCTTCCCCTATTCACTATACACAACATGCCTACCAAACGCGAGCATGAAGCGACGAACAAGGGGCTGTACTCTCTCATATCGACAACGCGCTTTTGCAGCAACGTTTTCTCGAGAGTGTAGCCCAGCTTGATGTTTGAATTTTGGGGGGTTCTATTCTACTGACACCGTTTGACAGCATCGCGGCCGCCTTCACGACCCTCGTCAACAACTTTGTGCAAAACATCATCATGCCGCCCATCTCCGTCATCTTCCCACTTAACCGCAACATGGAAGAAAAGTTCGCCGTCTTGAAGGGCGGCCCGAACTACACCCACGACAACAAGTACACGACCCTCGAGCGCGCCAAGGATGATGGTGCCGTCGTCTTAGCTTACGGGTAAGTTTAATATTCCACGCACTTGCTTCTACTTGACCATCACCATGTAAAGACTCCATATGGTATCGGATTCGGTCCTTGTTTGGAAACATTCATTTTTCGTGACTCCAAGGGCAAACACATCCAATGAAACTTCGCTCGACACGTCTCTAACAAAACCTCCCACACAGCTCGTTCCTCAACCAACTCGTCTCCTTCCTCTGCGTCGGCATCTCGCTCTACGGACTGGCCCACGTCTTCCAGTTCTTCTCCCGAGAGCCGATTATTAAGCATACCGTTAAGTGCAAGTACTGCCGCAAGCGGATCAGCAATAAGGTGCGTCCAGTCAGGCCCTACCACCAAGCTCTCAGATGAGAGTAGAACCCCGTTGAAGCTGACCTAACCTCTCGAGCGTAGGCGCAACGTTGCGTCAACTGCACTAGCTGGCAGGACGGGCGTGAGGATAGGGCTCATCAGTAATAAGTTTCTTCTCTTGTTCTTCCCGTGTTGGTGGAATTGGTTCGAGCACGTTTCTTTTTCTCGGACTGGTTTTAAGCATGTCAGGGGGTGGGGGTTACGGGGCAACATCATGAAGTCAGGTGTCGGGGGTCCATGAGCATTGTTTCGGCATAGCAGGGTTGGAGTTGAGAAGCATTCGGTGTCGTTTCGTGTCGGAGTCGTGGTTCCTCATAATAATTCAGAGCATCATCATTTGACTCAGGCCCACGTGTTCTTGAATGTAATGACCCAACTCTATTATACCATACATCGCATCCGCGTTGATCCAGCCGTTCGCAGTCCTAGAAGAATTGGTTTTCTCACCTGTTTATCATGCCCGCTAAACTAAAAACTCACCATTGCTCCTCGGGAAAAGACTTCCTGCCATCTTAACCCCCTGGCACCCCACTCCCTCTATGCACCAGGCATCGTTTCCTCAGGCGTACCCCCGTTCCGTCTAAAATACTCCTTTTGCGCGCGCGGCGACATTACATAGCGCCAATATCCCACCGCCACAAGACCGATGAAGAGTATGACGCCCACGCAAGAAAACGCGATAGTGCTCTTTGTTTCGACGTTCATGATTTGCTCTGAGTTCTAGGAAGGGAGGGGGGGAAGAAGTCTGGGACGAGAAGATGAATGCCCCCTTGTCTTGCGAGGTAGGGGCTGGATACCTGTCAGTAAGTGAGCCTGGGAGGGCGGATAGTTTGTTGAGTGAGAGGACTGATGTGTATGGACACTGGGCGAGTGAAGAAATGCTTGAGCTGGGGTTGAGGGAAATAAGTTGTATTTGTGTTTAGATTTGTATCTATATAATTAACCGCTTCCCATATAGATTTGATTGTTACGATTCATCGCTCACCTATATGAAAGCCGACGTACTCGTTCAACAAACAATGCCTTGGTTGTTATCAGCCAGACAACCTACAAAAAAGAACTGTCTTTGACTCACACAAAGTCAATGAAGTGAAGGGGAACACCGCCGCAGCAGCCAACAAAAGGTAATCCTTAAAGATGAATGAGAGACAAGCATGTTAATACAGTCGGAATGGTCACTATGCGTCAAGATAGTCGCGAATCATTCGCGAGGTTGCCTATTGTTGTTTCCCGAAATACACCGCTCATCGATGCCTTCCTCAACTGAAACTACTACATCTTCAAAGACCTGGCTCTGTCACCGACATACTTAAAACATCATGAACCCAGCCGCAGCGACAGCACCGACGAGCACACCATCCCGGCCGACTCGGGGTGCAGCGGCGTTGGGCGTGGACGTCGAGGAGGCCTGCGCAGTCGTCGCCGTTGCAGCAGCGGAGCCGGACCCAGATCCGGATCTGGACCCGCTCTGCGCCAATGCCGTGGAGGTCGCCGTGGAGGTCGCCGTAGCCGTCGCAGCCGCAGTCGTAGTGGCGCCGGCCTGAGCTTGCTGCAACTTCTCGAGGCCCGCGGTAACGGTGAGAGGAACATAGAGGCTTGTGCCCAGAGGCGACACACTTGTATCGGTCTGCGTGACGGTGCTTCCGCTCTTTGTGGCGACCACGTGGTAGTACAAGGCACCATCTGAGACGGTACCAATGTACTCGATTGATCTATGTAAACAAAGTTTCAGCAACCATGGTCTAAAAGATTACCCCGCTGGTGTTGGCTGCGCATGGCAGAGAGACGATGAGCAAGTATGCGTGAGATGTCTTACACTTTGCTGGCAGTACGTTCAATGTGAAGCTCCACGGTCGACGGCCCTCCGATGAGGGTCATGGCCAGGCCGGAGGGGTCTTGGCGACATTGGTAATTCGTGCTGTCCGTTTGGCAGCTCACGACGTACGTCGTCGCGGTAGGATTAGCGTCCTTGATGGACGCGTCGTAGGGGTTGTCACCGAAATAGGGGTTCAGGACGCTAATCACGGACGTGGTCTGCGCCGCGGCGGTGCCCAAGAGGGCGAGCAAGATCGTCGTGTAGTGCTTCATCTTGAGATCAGTATGCGACAAGGAGGGCAAAAAATGATGCTTTCGTAAGTATCGCGGCGAGACAATGTTTTTCTTGGCTGGCCTTCATGGTCAATTTTCCCGGCAGAGGTGTGCCGCAAGCTCACAGGAGGAACTGGGCCCGGGAGTTCATGGCCATTTCTGGTCAAGCGCTCGTGTCATTGTGTGTTGGTAGCGAGAAAAAGGAATAAGCCAAAGTTCCAACCCGTCAGTCCAGGCTGTCGTTGGCAAGCAATGTTCCAATTGGATCCCGCCTAGATAACGTTGGCCGTCATTCCGATGAAGAAATTCAGAAGGTTTGCATGGAGTTGGGGCCAAATCGGTTTCTTGCGAATGACGGTGGCTCACTGGCTCACATGGAGTAATTTTACAACCAGTGTGGATTTCTGACGCATCGGTTCGTGACTTCTGTGCTCCTCTCCAGTCATCTGGCAATGGTTTGTGCAGCTTGCAACCCGGCAATAGGTCATTTCGTGCACAGCTGCCTCTAGCATCGCATGGAGATACTCGTTCTTGTGGCGAAGTGCAGCATGTATTCTGCATCGAATCGGACGCCATGCTGCCAGCTGATATGTAGATTAGTTCGAGCTGAGTTTATTTGAACGTTTTTCGGTCTGTGACTTGCCGACACTTGAAGCCTTATTGATGTGACTGTGTGCTGAACAAACGACCAAGGAACGTCCACTTGGGTGGCTTCAACTCGCTGGGTTCTAAATTGAGGTGGAAGCAGACACATTTGCCCAGTCAAAGGGCCGACAAGCAGGTGTTCGGCAACACAGAGAGTCGTCCTGGCCCTGTGGCCCATCATGAGTGATACACTCCGAACGACAGACCAGGGGGCGAAGACGACAGGATTGTATTGCCTCCAGGTACAGCGGGCTAGCAATTGAAGCGTGTTTGCTTATCTTGGATAAGCAGCGAGCCTTTGACGGGAGCAAGCCGAGATTCGCCGAGCCGTTGCGGTGAGGTTTCCAGGACGCTTCGGTTGCATGATGCTCCGGGCGGAACCAGTACGGATCGGACGAAATATCAACATCGAAACTCCTTGCTGGTAGAGCTCGGCGTAATTGATGGGATGAAAGACGGGACGACCTTGTTGGGATTGGGATGGTCGCTCATATCAAAACTGTGGCTGGTGCACAGATACCTACAGATCGAGTGCGATTTCAATGTTGAGATGGCGACGAAGCCGTGGTGCCGGCGGGAGCCGAGATAATCGTCTGTCGTGCTTGGGCAGAAAGCAGATGCATCTGCACTGCTGCAGCGGTGGATAGTGACCAGATCTTCGGTTCTGCCTAACACGGATGAGGGAATTGCAGCGAGCGGAAAGAGGGCCCCGAGGATGGCAGTCGGAGCCTATCAAACGACAAATCGAGGCGGAATCGGCTCCCACTTGGACTTCCACTCGGGTCCAGATATCTGGTGTTCAACGTTGACGAGAGCATGGTCAGATCTGAGATCGAAAGGTGTCGGAGACTCGGAGACTGCAAGATGGATTCGACGAAGGGAGTCATAGAGGTATACCATGTTACACGTTTCTGGACAATGGAGGGGTGCCGAGAAGATGTTTCGTTCAAACGGGTTGGGTGAGGATCATCTTCAAAGCTGCTAGGCCCAGGAACCGTCGGCTGGAGGGGAGTTGAGGTTTCTGGAGAGGGATTTTCTGGTCAGGCCGGGTTTTTGGGCATGAGGTCCCGGAGTGATGCACAGCATTAACGACGGGATGGGAAGGTGGTGGTGTTTTGGGCGAGATTTCCTCACGGGATACAAGTTACCTAAGCCTCAGGAAAGGCAAGAGAGAATTGTGAATTGCGACTTCCCAAGTAGCGCAGCGGAGCGGGGACGAACGGGCATGACGGGGGGGCACCGGGGGGCAGCCAACCCCTGCCGGTTCCTGCCTGGCTGGCAACGTCGGGCCAGTCAGATGATGCCGTGACAGGAGGACCTTCTCCAGTCCGGACGCCCGTGCCCACCCAGCTCTTATTATTATTTTTCGAAATTCGCTGTCTTGGCATTTCTTGGCTTTCTTCCCTTCCATCCTCTCATCGTCTGCCGTTTGTTTCTCTCGCCCAGCTGCCAATGTCCACCACTGTCACCGCATCCATTGGACGATCCAGCACTGAACAGCCATCGGTCCTCGGCCTTCAGGCGAACCGCGGTGGATGCTACAGTGGCACACACGCACTGCAGATACCTACCGTCTCCCAGCTATCTCACGCATAGCTGTGCTAGACTACCCCCAAGATGGAGGTGCTCAGCTCGCATTACACCCACTGGCTGCAATGCAGCAAACCTGCTGGGTGACCCTTTTGGAAGGCCGTTGAAGTTTCAACCTGAGGAGAACGCCGTTGTTGCGAGGAAGCAAATACCTACCTTACCTTACAATGAGGTATGCCGAGACAAGGGCACGCTACGTTCGTCTCCCGTGGACCTTTGACCCTCTCACACACTCTCGCCGAGTCCAAAAGTCTTGGCTTCCGTCCCATTTTACCAAAAGAATGCCAATCGCTCACCTACTCTCCCGCCCAGCCTTGGCCGGCAACGACGGCGCATTGGCAAAAGCTGCAAAGTCCTCAATCTCTCCCCGACACGTCTCTCTGCTCACCTGAAAGTTGAGCCGCTCCCCTTTGGTCGCAATACTGCTGTCACGACAGTAAATCTCCCTCACCGGAAACCCCTCCTCATTCTCTCGGCTCCGTTCCCAGCTTGCTCTTTTAAGGAAACAGACCCCTCCGACCCAGAGGCAACCTTTCCCTGCTTGCTGACAGCTTCCGTCCGGCTTTACTGGATTCGTATGCTATCGCTGCACCCGCGAAACGACCGCTACGACCGTCTCATGCTTTAATCAGGGTCTCTTACCACCACCGCACACGCCAAACCCACTCTCTGCCCCAGAGAACGGCCAACGGCCTTTCCTCCGACCCTTCTTCAACTTTGATAGGGAAATCCACGGCGTGTTACCGAATCCCTCTCTGGCTCCCCAGCTTCAACATCCGTCCCGTCAGCCTGGTCCGCTGCATTGCATAACCTCGCCTTGCCCGTATCGGTAGCTGTCCGACCCATGAACCGCCTCCGGTGGCTAGCTCGTTGACGTCAAGCACTGCTGCATCTTTCGACCGGCCCGAGACTCGACCAATCCACATTCTACGTCTTCACGATGAGATGCTCACAGCCTTTCGCCGCTCTGCTGTCACTATGTTTCCTTTCCTCGAATGCCGTCTTCGCCGATGATACCACCACTGTTCCGATCTACCTGCCGCACTATGATGCGAATAGCTGGTCGCAGCTGCGGGGGAGCGTAGTTTCAAGTGTACGAGTCCAAAGCTGCTCGAGCTCCCTTTCGACTGCCATTGCTGTGATCTAACAATTGCGCCATTGTAGAATGCCAAAGAAACGACGTATACCATCTTTTGCCCGCCACAGACATCACCTAATTGCGACCTCGCCATCGAGTTCCCCTTCGTCTTCTCCGAGGGCGAGAGTACGCTTCAGTTCCACGGCACCAAGACATCAACTCTGTAGGTTCTCGGCTCCCCGCAACATGCACATAGCTTGGAAAGGAGTGGGACGGCTAATCACGACGTGACGGAACAGCATCGCCGATTTGGGCTGCACATTAAGCGGAACGACAGCTGCGACATGTTCAGGATACTCGAGTCTGAAAAGCGGATACATTAACGGCAAATTGACGGGACCGACCGAAGTATCGTGGACGTCGACCATGACCGGCTCTGAGGTGGAATGGGGTATTTTGACCATGGCTGAGGAGCCCGCGGCTACAGCAACTCCAGCGACGACCACGACCGCCGACGACTCGAACTTTGACGATTTCTTATACACGGACAGCCTCTCGCCTTCATTACCTGCCGAGACTAACCCGAGCGCCGCTCCTCGTCTTGGCCGCAGCTGGGCTCTCGTCGCATCATTATGCAGCATGGCAGTTGTTGCATTGGTGGTATAACCGGCGACGTTTCTACACGCCCTCGGGCTACAGAGCCGGGGCATACTATACCCACCAGAGCAATCACGAATGATCTGCTACCCGAAATCCGAAAGAAAACGAAATAGAAAGCGGCATTATCATCATGGAAAGGAAGCATACGAAGCAGACCAAAACTAGGAACCTGGATCTTGGGACAACGATTTGAAGAGGGTAATGCAACCTTGGAGCTTTGCCCTCATGCCAGCGTAAAGGGAGGGGACGAGAAGGGACGAGGGGAGAATCGTTGGCGAGCCCGTTGTCTTTTTTTTTTTTTTACCCACAGAGCTTTGTCATTTCTCGCAATGCGCTCCCTTTTGGAGTTATACCCCGTATCGGCGTTGTATTATTTACGGTCAAGGGCTCAACGGCAAATATAAACATGGACAAGAGAGGAGGGGACGACTCCTAATCCTGTGATTCTCTGTGCAAACAATTTCATCGAATGTTTGTATCGTTTATCCACCGAGAGAGAACATGTCCATCAAAGCAACCTGTTACGCATGTCATCGTTTTAGAACGGACGAATACTGCGAGCAGTCACACGGCAGACGGAACATCCGTCAAATTGGTCCGCAGTCCTGCGTTACGCTCCACACATTACGGTATCCGCGTGGAACGCAAAGATTTGTTCCGCTCGCCCCTTAGACGACCATCGATTCTTCACAGAGCAGGAGGATGACCGGTATAACGTGATGGATTTGAATTCATGAACATTAGAAACTGTCAGGGGGTATGTATGTTTTTACATGTTGAGCAAATGGATGCCTTTTACCAAACGCCGGTTACGCCTTTTTTTCCCCGGATTCCATTCTACACAAGACGGAAATGCCAAAACAGCAACACAGCGCTCAAAGCGCCTGTGTATGTACATTTCAAAAAGATGTTTCCTGCGCCACTTTGGTTCGGGACGGTGGCGGGAGGCGGCTCAGTCGTCGAGTTGGTGGTTGAGTTTGTGAGGCTGGCGCGGTGCCTGTCAGCGGTCGGTTTTCCCCGTTTATTGTTGACCGGACGCAGGACGCAGAAGGACGCAGAAAGGGATTTCGACCGAGGTTGCCCGCACGAAGAAAACCTACTGGCTAACGACAAGACCCTGGATGATTTCGAGCGCGCTCATGGTCTGCCCGAGGCCGTAGCTGCCGTCGTCGCCGTCGACGTACCACTTCTGCCCGCACGTCACGTTGCCCGCCGAGGCCTCGCACACTTTGGCCGCCGCGAGCGCGCTCGGGACCAGGATCTCTTTTACCTCGGGCAGCAGCGCCGGCATGACGACGGCGGACTGCCACAGAAAGCGCGAGAGGTAGCCCTTGAAGGTCTTCATGTCCGTGTTGCACGTGCCGACCATCTCGCACGCGGGCTCGTACATGATGTTTGTGCTGTTCTCGGCGAGCGAGAAGAAGCTCTTGCGGGCTGTGGCGAGCATCTTTGTCGCGCGGTCCGCCCAGAGGACGTCGCCTGTGTGGTTTGCCATCACGGCTGCGCCGTAGAGGTAGATGCCCGTGGAGTAGGTGAAGGAGAGATAGTTTGTCTTTGTGCAGTTGTCGCGCGAGTCGGCGCCGTCGTAGACTTTGAGGTCTGCGTCGAGGAAGCCCACGGCGGCGGACCAGTCCCACACGTACGAGGCCCAGTCGGCGTAGCGGGAGTCGTTGGTCGCGGCGGCGAGGCGCGCGCCGAGCTGGAAGAAGCCGCCGTTGCTGACGCTGTTTTTGTAGTTGAGCCCGTTGGGGTTGGACTCGTAGATTTGCCAGAGGAGTCCGCCGCCGCAGTGCGTCGTGTTCCAGCGGCCCGCGAGGGAGTTGAAGATGTTGCGGCCCATTTGGAGCCATTCGGGGCACCCCGTCGAGGCGTCTGGTTCGGGGAAGTTGCGTTCGGCGGCGGACATGACTGCGAAGCCCCAGAAGCCGAGGTCGTCGTTTCCTTCTTCGAGTTCGTGCTCGGGGGGCATGAAGTCGTAGTTGGGTCCCGTGTTGACTTTTGCGGTGAGGGCTTGGGTTAGGACTGCGTTGTAGGTTGGGTCGCCTGTGTAGTGGAAGTAGTCCATCATCATGCCCCAGAGGGCGCCGGCTTGCCACCAGTAGTATGGTTCTGGGAGGTCGCCGACCATCTGTGGATGTGGTGGTGTTCTTGTCAGTCTTCTTTGATCCTGACGTTTGGAATATTACCCCCTTTTGTGTGAAGACCTGGAATGTGTTTCGTCTTTGGGAGTTGAGATAGTCATACCTTGGGATCACTAGAGACGTTTCCGTTGTAGTAAGACATGGCGCCGAAAGCCAGACTGCCGGCGATGGCCTTGACGGAGTCTTGGGGCCTTGTTAGCGAAAACCTTGGGCCTGTATACGGGGAAGAACTGTAGACACCAACCTGCGTTATTGACATCGAGCGTCTTGGGCGATGTGAAGGCGGAAACCGCCGTGACAGCCACGGAGGCGATGAGGGCGGGCTTGACGAGGACCATGATGTTGCCAGGACCTGATCTACAGACTTTGCGCCGGTTGGAATGTCACCGTTCTTGATGGAGATGATGTTTCCGAAGAGACCGGCTATTTAATCCGCTGCCTTTCACAAAGGAATGTTTCAAGTGTACAAACACGGGGGATACTGGGTCAAAGAAGGACGTACGTAGGGTGAGAGGGAGAGAGAGAGAGAGAGGAACAGTAAACCTAAAAGGAATGACTCTTTGGTGAAGATGACGAGAGAAACAAGCAGCGGCGAAACAGTTCACGAGAAACGAGAGAAGGTTAAGAAGCGAGAGTAACTGCACATTGCGTAGGTAAGGTAATAAACAGGAAGGAAAAGTATCCGACCTACATACAGGGCAACCGAGGCGTTCCTAATGCTATTAATGAGCACGAATAAGAGCAACGTCACAACCAGGGGGGGTTGTTCAGGTCCCGGCGCGCGGTTCGTGAGGTGGCACTAAGGGTATTGAGGGGTGAAGTTCAAGGAATAGACGGCGGCTCCGGCGAATGGGAGCTCTCGCTGGCCTTCTGGTTCGACTCAGCCCACCTTCGTCCCATGTTCATTTCTCTTTTAGACTTCTTGACAGCTGCTCGAAAGAGTCTCGCTGTTCTGTGGCAGTGGTTCGGACAAGGCAGGGCGCGCAAGGGGAACAACGAAAAAAAAAAGTCTCCTTGTCCACATAAATCCCGCCGGTCTCCTCCTGACCCTTGGGGCGGTTATGAACTTATGTGTGTGGACAGGGGGGGGGCTTTGACTGGGTAAATCCCCATGTTTTGAGAAGCGCGGCCGGCCTTTAGTCAGGCACACGCAACCACAGACTTGCAGATACACGCAATGTTGTCACTGGGCTGAAGAGCTGAGGGTTGGTTGGTGGTTTGACTGGTCAAAAGGGGAAGTTCCAACGGGACCAGAGCCGCCGAAAGGGGGGAGGAGGGGGATGCGGGAGAGCGGGGTGTGGGCGGTTTGTGTGGTTCTTCTCAATGCAAGCTTACAATGAACAAACTTGCATGAAGAAAAGGGTCATTTTGAATTGTGATTGACAAGACAGCGTTGTACCGGGACAATCTATGGCAGATCAGAAGAGGACAGAAGACCTCTGGCCCCTCTGAGGGTTTTGCTGTTCAGTGTTGTGTTCAACAGGTTCAGACGTGTCCCAAGGCCAGCAATAACCAGGCAAAGGATGTCGGCGATTGGGTCAATGATTGGGCGCTTGTTTGGAGGATGGGAGTCAACCCATGGACGGGATGATCTACTCGAGAGCCGCTAGCTCGGGTTACCGTTACCTCCAGCTCGACACATGAAACAGCGACGGCACCCAATTTTAGCCTTTGCCTAATGGAGAATGGGCGGGGGGCCATCGGCATCCGTGAGATCCAGTCTGACCAGATGATTGAAGGAACGGCGGTTTTTACACTGAATGGTGGCGCCGTGCCGATTGCCGGGTCTCACCAACAACGTGGAAAGAGGGACGGATTGGTTCTCGAGGGCGTTTCGCTGAATGGTCATTTCTCAATCAAACCAAGCTGGTCGGTTGAGCGCGAGCTTCGAGGTAGGCAAACCTGGCAAGGTAAGGTGAATAGATTTAAGCCAAGGCCTGATTTGAACAGCAGCGAAGGAAAGTTGTTCAGGATCTGATCAGCATCAAGATGTCCAAGATAGGTTGGTTATCGTGACAAATTTCACCCGGCTTCTTCATGCAGTTGATATCCATGATAGAACATAGTTGATACCTAGAAGATTGCGGTCAATTGTGTTGTCTAGCGTGGCTCATCAAAATATCACGTGACCATGTGGGGGCGGCGGATGCTTGAAGCCATCACGACCATCTTGCAGGCTTGCTGTGTTAGGTGGGATATGAACGCTGTACACAGACAGTAATGCAGCATTATGAGATAACGAGACAGATATCATTCGCCTGTACTCCGTAAGCTTGTCACGACGAGAAGTATACTTTCAGATCGAAAAAGAAAAGAAAAAAACAAATGGGCCGATGGAGGTTCGAAAGCCGGCGTCCTGAAATAATCCGGAGCATCACGGACTAAGTCAGCACGTCACGACCTTCTCCCCTCGACTACCAAACTAAATGGCCCATTTGTTGGAGGAGAAACACAAATCGTTGCCTATATTTCCCGTCGGCCTGTCGCCTGAGGTTGTAGGTTGATACTGCTCAAACACGCGCGAAGTGCTATGTGCCGGGGCTCAGGGCCACCAAATTTTCTGCTTCCCTACTATTATTATTATTATTATTTCTTGATTTAACTTTACAAGACTTCATGCAACACAAAGGTCACAACATAGGATCTGCTCTCGTATGATACAGAGTCGATGGATGTAAAGACTTCTCCCACCCCAATGTGCACTCAGCCAGGCTTCTTTCACTCATTTAACATTTCTTACACGCACACACACACACACCGAGTTTCAGCTAGAGATGAGTCAGATATCCGGGACGTTAAGTTACCGTGCATACTCACTCTGTCGAACCTGTTGCCAACTTCATGTTCAATAAGTTCATGACGGGTTGCATGAGGTCGGCTGCCTTCTGGGAATATATACGTCCGGATAGTACCAATATTTATTTCTGCTATTAGTGATGCGAAGCAACTCAATTCGGAGTGTAGTCACTTTTAATCTGAAATTAAGAAAACCTGCGCAGTCGGGGGGTACCGATCCAGTAGGTGGTGATTCCCTTTATATGGATCTCAAAGTGACTCACTCCGGTCTCTCTATAAGCGACTCATCAATCCTTCAGGTTAACTGATAATATAGCTAATCATCATCAACACTGCCATCTTCAACTCAAAAAGTAATCAAGACACGCACACCTATTGATCACCAACTGCTCAACCCACACCTCAACACCACAATGTCCCAAAACCCCCAACCCCTAATCCACATCAATGGCTACCCCGGCACCGGCAAACTCACAATCGCCCGCGCCCTAGAACAAAAACTCGCGCCGGGAGCCCGCCTCATCCACAACCACCTCCTTATCAACCCAGCCGACGCCGTCCTACACCGTACCGAACCGGGCTACCAAGACCTCCGCAAAGCCATACGCGGCACCGTCTTCGCCGCCCTGGCGGAGCATCCGTCGACGCGCGATTCGGTCTACATCTTTACCGACTTCCAGTCGAGCGATGCCGTGGGGTCCGCGACGTGTGCCGAGTACCTCGAGGCGGCGCGGGCGCGGGGGTGTCTGCTTGTTTCGGTTGTGCTGACGTGTGATGAGGGTGTCAACTTGGAGAGGTTGGTGAGTGCTGAGAGGAGGGCGCATTGCAAGATTGTTGATCCTGAGCTGTTGAGGTCCTTTCGGGCGGAGAGTACAATTCATCGATTTGAGGCGAGCGATTCGGTTGTTGCTTTGGATGTTGATGTCTCGAGGAAGACGCCGGAACAGGCGGCTGAAGAGATTCTTGATCATGTCCTCCGTATGCAGAAACAGACACCGACACATGACACCTAGTCTCGAAGTAGTCAAAATAGAAAAACTCAAGTTGGGTTCAACATAAGCATCTAGTCCTCATGTCCTTATAACTTTCCACTTTCCTTTTTTTCCCGATCGAAAACATCCAATGCTACCTTTTTCTTTTTGGCCGTCTTCTATCATCTATCAATGCCTCGTTATGAACCGTCCCATCTATGCAATCACCCCGTTCGCCGCCGCTTCCTTCTTCTCCTCGTCCGTCTTCTATCATCTATCAATGCCTCGTTATGAACCGTCCCATCTATGCAATCACCCCGTTCGCCGCCGCTTCCTTCTTCTCCTCGTCCGGCTGCCGCCCAGCACCGCGAACCTCGGCCAGAACCTTGGTAATAGAAGCAAGGAACCTCGTGACCTCGTCCTCGGTACCGATCGTGATCCGCAAACACCCCAGGCAACCATGCTCCTTACCGCGGAACCGCACCACGACGCCCTTGTTCTCCGCAAGACGCTCATACACGGCCAGCGCCGTGACGTTGTCCGGCTGCCCCGCAGCATCCAGCATCTCGTACAGCAAAAAGTTACTCTCCGTGCCGCCGCGCAACCTGCCGACACCGGGAACGCGGGGAAGCTCAGCGATGATGCGGTCCCGCTGCGTCAGGATCTTGGCGCGGTTCTCCCGCATCACGGCCAACCCCTTGTCGGAGACGGCGTACTGCGCGAGCGCGCTGGTCGGCGTGGAGATGTTATACGGCGCCTTCATGGCATTCAAGAGGCGCACGACAGGAGGGGCCGCAAAGGCGGCGCCGAGGCGGATGCCCGCCATGCCGAACGCCTTGGAGAGGGTCTGCATCACGACGAGGTTGGGCCACTCGAGCACCCACTCGGCCATGGAGCTCCCCTCGGGCGCGAAGTCGATGTAGGCCTCGTCGAGGACGACGATGCCGTTCCACGTCGGGTGCTCCAGCACGCGCTGGACGTCCTCCTTGGCGAGGACGGAGCCGGTCGGGTTCCCGGGGGTGCAGAGGTACACGAGCTTGATGTTGTTGTCCGGCTCGCTCAGCGCGGCGAGGATGCCGTCCGTGTCCATGCCGAATTCGGGGGCGGCTTTGAGGGGTACCTTTGTGATGCCCACGTCGTTGATTTGCGCCGAGACGGAGTACATGCCGTAGGTGGGCGGGCAGGTCAGGATGCGGTGTTTGCCGGGGGCGCAGAAGCAGCGGAGGAGGGCGTCGATGGCCTCGTCGCTGCCGACGCCGACGAAGAGGTTCGAGGGCGTGAGGTCCTGGTTCGTGTGGGTGTGGGTGTTGCGGAGGCGGCAGAGGAGCTGCTTGAGTTCCGGCTGGTGAGGGTCCGGGTAGCGGTTCAGGCCCTGGAAGTCGATGCCTAGGTTGCCGGCCTCGAAGTCGGGCTGCAGCGAGGGCCCGTAGGCGTTTTCGTTTGCGTCGAGGAGGACGTTTGTGCCGTCATCTTTGTAGTCGCTGAGGCGTGGTGTTAGAGAGAGAGAGAGAGTGTGTGTGTGTGTGATTTGCTTATGAGAGTCTTGTGAGTGAGTTTTTTGGTGATTGAGAACTTACTCTCTTGCGCAGCGATAGGGCTCGAGGGCCAGGATATTCGGGCGCGCACACGTTTCGAGGTTAAAGGGTGACATTTTGGCTTGGATGTCTGGAGAATGACTTCTGTTGTGAGGACAGTGAAGCAGAGTAAGTCCTTATATCGCCAATCTCTCTCACTCGTACAATCGTCGACGTCGATTTGAGTCAACTCTCGGCCACTGTAAACTGGATCCCGACAGCTGGGCCCGCCGACCCCGGAGCCATACGTCGGCACCTGCCCGGACCTACGCGGGTCATGGAAGATGGCAATTGGCCAATGGGGATTCGATATGGTGCCTCTCTCATTCATCCGAAAAAATTGATTTGTGAGATACTCACAGGGCTAAGTGCCGATTAAGTGATACTTTGTGTGGCAAAGCTGTGGAGATATCAAATTTTGCCCTGTTCTAATTTCGGCTCAAAGCGGGCACTCCGAAGCCGTTGTTGAACTCGGCATCGGCTCAATTCCAACGTGGCACATGGTGAGAAAGTCCGAAATGGTGAAGCCGACCGATGGTTTCAAGGCGAAAGTCAATATTCACTGACGACCTTCAAGTGAGTACTGATTCGTCATACTTGTGATTTCGGGTTTCCACAGAGCCGCAATCTCGGAAATAAGTGAACTGCATATAAAATAAGCACTTATATTCCATTTCTCACATGAATGTGCATCTGGAAGAAGATATGCTAAAGCATGTCTGCATGCTTCCAGGCTAGTTCAAAAGCTTATTCGGGTCCCCAAGTCTGCGTCATCTTTAACGGACAGCCATCTGATATCTTCACTATATCCGTACTTATACAGCCATACAGCTGAATCTCCGAGTTTCGATCCAACTCGCCTTTTGGGGCTCAAGATCAGTAGATGATCATGTACCACGATCTTGCTACTCGCCAACCCGGACTTATGCCCCGCTCCTAGGCCGGGTCCGCGGATCAACTGGCATCGCCTGCATTCAGGCCGAATATGAATGAGCACGCCAGCGCCACGGTTTGGTCTAATGTCAGGGCCAGCCTTTTCTTGAAATACGGCAATGTCGGCTGTGAGTAGGTAGGTAGACAGTAGACAACAAACAGTAACCCCGCACAACTCCTAGTATGCAGGACGAACCAACGACTCCCCAACCCGTCTCCGGGAACCAAGGGGATATCCAACATCGTCCCTCACCTGCCGGCCGCAGCTCTCGCGCCGGCAGCTCAACATGACCAAGCTAGTGCTGGACCGATGTGACGGCTATGGAGTTCAATGAGGCCTTCCCCAACTTATCCCTCATCCATGATCGTGAAGCGGCATCCCCCCCCCCCCGGTCAAAGATCTGGGGAAATTGCAGATGTCTGGGCTTTCTTCTACCGAACTCCGCATTACGCGGGTTCGTCACCGCTCCCCCGCGTACAGGGCGGGAGAGGGGGAAGCTCCTACTATCTACGATCCGGTCCATTTCATAGGCGGCCATTCTTCGTCCGTCTCTGCATCGGTCGAGCTTCCCCCGCACCTCCCGATTCTAGTGTCCCGGATGAAAGGACCTACGGCCCATCATGACGCAAGGATACGAAGCTATGGGGCAGAGCTATATGAACATCGGTCCCCAGATAATGAACCTGTCTAGTGGTAATCGTTCGTCCTGGTTCCCGCTGCTCTTACTGGCGTTTCCAAAGTGTTTCTCCAGCTGAGCGTTTTCGTCCTTCGAGTCTCTTACCGCCGCGATGCTCCCCCTCCTCGTCGCAGCCCTGGCCTCGGTGGCTACAGCCTCCCAATGCGGCCTCAAAAAGTTTGAGAACCTGGTGGCTTTCGGCGACAGTTACACCGACGAAGGCCGGCTCTCGTACTTTATCAACAACAACGGCACCGCCCCTCCGGCCGGCACTCTGCTGCCGCCGAGCAACTCGACCGCGAGCGGCGGCTACGCCTGGGGCCGGATCGCCGCTAACTCGACGGGAGCAAAGTACTACGGCTACGCCGTCAGCGGCGCCACCTGCTCCAACAAGATCATATCGCGCGACTTTGCCGCCATCAAGCAGCCGTTCCCCTCGGTGCTCGACTACGAGATCCCGGCGTACAAGGCCGACACGGCCTTTGAGGCGCTCTACCCGAACCGGAAGGCGGACAACACGGTCTACGCGCTCTGGATCGGCACAAACGACCTGGGCTACGGCGCGTTCCTCACGGACACCAACGCCGCGGGCACGACCATCTCCAGCTACGTGGACTGCATCTGGGAGGTTTTCGACAACATCTACGAGACGGGCGGGCGCCACTTTGTCCTCTTGAATATCGCGCCGCTGGAGGAATCGCCGCTGTACGCCGCGTACGCCGCGACGGGACCGGGGAAAAGCGGCTTCGGGGACAGTCAGTTCTGGACCAACAAGACGGCGTACAATACGACGGAGACGCAGTTCAAGATGCTCGAGTACAGCACGAGCGTCAACACCATGTTTGAGTATGGCGCGCCGTTCCATCTGCTCGTCAAGAAGCGCTGGCCCGGGGCGAGCTTTTCAATCTTTGATGTCCACTCTCTGCTGCGGGACGTCCATGATGACCCGTCGAGGTACCTGTCGTCGCCTGCGAACGTGACGGCGCCGTACCGGACGTGCGATGCGGTGACGAGGGCTTGTGTGAACTCGCCGGAGGCCATGTCGAGCTTTTTGTGGTATGACGAGTTGCATCCTTCGGAACGTGCAGGTAAGTCTGGACTGTTAGCGGGCTCTTCTTTCTGTGTGGACGTTGGGCTAACGTGAGCGATTTTGAAAGACGAGATTATAGCACAGAACTTTATCGACGTTGTGTACGGCAACTCGTCGTATGGCACTACATATACGCCATAAGGGCCTTGTATCCGGTCAACTAGTCTTGGATAGGGTTCCCTCTCGAGTAAGCCCATGGGTTGCAATAAATATCCGAGGCTAGAATCACTGAAAAATGGCGTGAAGCGTTTATGATGTGCGTCTTGAGGGAACAAGAGCCGGTGTGTAATGGTAGGAAATATGCGGAGTACAAGGGAGTCGAACAATTAAAGCAAGCCCCATCCATCCGTCCTGGTCCTTGACCTGGTATCAGGGCGTCTACGTAGCTTTCGATGAAATACCTAAGGTATGCCAGACCATGTTAGGTGCTCCATCTACGACCAAGGCCTCTCTCGGCATATGCCACTCAGATGGACTCATCAAAAGCTGCCATTCCACATCGCTGCAAGCCATCTGCTACGCTTCCGTACTCACTTGCGATTGTGGTATTCCGTACTCCGTGATCTCTCCGTAGAGGATGTCTTCAACTTGTCAATAACAACAGCAGCTCCTTCTTGACAAGCTCGAGGAAGGTGGAAGGAGAGGGGAGACATGACCCTTGCGAGGTGCAGGCACATCCCTGTCGTGGTGACTGTGGGTCTCACCGACAGTCCAATGAATATGCAGTTTCACCTCGGCTCTTGCAATTCCTCGATTAACGTCCCGAGGTACGTACTGACCACCTCCGGCATCTTCCAGGTTCCAAGCGTAAGCCCCCTCCCCCCCTCCCCCCCTTCCCAGAACGCCCCGCCGTTTCTCAAGCTCCCCCCCCCCCCCAGGGCCCAAGGGCCCATGTGCCCATGTGGAAAAGCAACGCAGGAAAATTCTGTTTCTGCCTTTCCACGTCCCTCTTGCCTACGAATGCCTGGTTGACACCTCACACAACACGATCTGGGCACACCGACACCCCGATATCTCGCTCGCTCCCTCATTTCTCACACACCCAGACAATATTAATCGCCGGACCGTAACTGGACTGGAACTTTAGAGTCTAGACAAGGTTACCGCCGCGCCGCCACACCCGCTCTCACCTCGCCTCATCTCGCCCTCACCGCACACCGACACACCGATACCGTGCCGTGCCGTTCCACGTCTGGCCTCTCTCTCTCTCTCTCTCTCTCTCTCTCTCTCTCTCTCTCTCTATCTACCTCTCTCCGCTTGATGCTCCACGCCCACCGTCACTCACACCACGGCCGCATCTGAGGTCATTTCTATTGTCCTGTCTCGTCTTGTCAAACGTACGCAAAGGGTTGCTTTGCGTCCTGTCCCTTCGCTTCCCAACCGCACCCTACCGTGCCGTCTTGCACCAGTCACCCACCCCTTCCGCTCCGCGTATCCTTCCATCTCACCTTTACTTCCCAAAGGTACCTACCGCGTGGGACCTTGCCAGCTTGCCTGCCTTATCCAGGCTATCCAGCTCGGCGTCGTTCCTGATTCAAGTGGCAGCCCGGCGCGAGACCACCACCCGATTGCCATCTGCTTGCTTTAGTCTTGTCTCACCGGCCCGCGCTGTGGCACTCTTTGGACCCTTCTTGGCTCCTTCTTTTCCACATTGGAGATCGTTAATCCTCGAGCAATTACGGATACGCATCTCACAATCCCTTCCTGCCTCATCTCTAACTGGCAACCCTCCATCTGGCGCCCCCATCCCTCCACGTCATCTCCCATCCATTACCGGCACCTAGTCCTTCACCCTTTCTCACCGTACCCATCTCATTCACTTTGAACCCCTGGTTTCTACATTCTCACACCCCCGTGTGCTCTACTTTCCTCTACTTACTGTACCTGCTGAGAGGTATAAGGTAGGTTAGTGGACGAGTACGGACGAGACCGAGACAAACAGGGCCGGCTTCATCCCAGCCTCCAAATACGCCTTACCGACCAGCCAGGCAAGCCCAAGTGCAGAGAAAGGAATTGCTGGATTCGTTCCGTATGCATGGTTGTACCTTAATACGAAATACATCCATCACTAGCAAGACGCAAGCCGAATCAATTCGCTCATAGGCCAAAGAGTTTGGCTGTCAGTCAATCGGTCACAGTCTATCTGAGAGACAACCCAGCCAGAGCCCGCCCATTGACGGTTGTACCCCTGTCCCCCACCGCCCATCACGCACGTCAAGCAGGCAAGCAAACGAGCCAGTCATCCCGCCAGCCTAGCAAACCTGCGGCCCGGACAGGCCAGGACCACCTCGCCTTACTCCACGCACTCCTCCCCGCCGCCCGCCGTTCTTCTCTCTTGTTGCGCTCGACTCGACGAAACGTCGCCCGCTGCGGCAGCGCCTCTCTCTCTCACCTCCTCCGCCCAGTTTAGGCCAACCCAACCAAGCCCAGCCCAGTCCAGCGCGAGACAACAAGCGAGCCAGCCAGCAACCAAGCCTGGCTAGCCAGCCCGTGTCTGACGGAGTCTCAAGCCCGAGTCTATTGCTACAGTACCTTATCCGACTGGGCTCCTTGGGCCCGTCGCGTCAAGCCCCGTCCCCCAAAACCATAATAATAATAATAGCTCCGCGCCCATCCTATCCCATCCCGTCCCAGCCATGTACGCTCCCGGCTACGGCTTCTCCAATGTCCCTCCGAACTTCAACACCGGCGCCCCACCTCCAAACCAGAACCCTCACATGCAGCCAGGCTCTGTCCCAACCCAGCCGGGCCAGCAGATGATGTACAACCCTAATCAATTCGCTGGCATGCCCGGAGGCCAGCCCGGCTTCGTCGGCGGTCCCAATCCCGCCATGATGTCGGGCGCTGGCCCTGCAGGCATGATGCAGAACGCCGGCATGCCACACATGGCTACCAATGGTCAAAGTGAGCTGCCCCCTTCCTTGCCCTGTCTCTCCCCGTTTGTCGCGTGCGCCCACGTCTGCCATCGAGGAGAGAGTCTCGTATCTGCGTCACGCCCTCTGATGCTGTCCCGTGGCAGTCGCAGCATGCGTTGCCCGTTGATGATCGAGACAAAGATCGTGGTGCCACGAGAGCGCGTCCGTCTTGCAGTCACTCCCTCACCGTCATCATCACCATCTTCCACACACACCCGCCAAACGACATGGCACCGCAGCATCTTCCAGCATCTATCAACGGGAACACGTGTTTGCTAACGTCAATGTCTCTACCAGTGGCCTTCCAAAACCCTTACCAGGGCAATCCATACGGCGGCAACATGCCCGCGCCGGGCGGCCAACATCCCAACTTTGGAGGAATGCAGGGCTTCCCGATGAATGCGGCGGGCATGACACCTCAACAGCAGCAGCAGATGATGATGCAGCAACGCATGCAAGCGCAGCAGGCACATCAGCAGCAACAGCAGCAGCAAGGCCAGGGACAAGGAAATCATGGAAACCAAGGCGGTATGCCGTTGGGCTCGACGCCTCAGAGGCCGATGAGCGCGGCGCAGGGTGGACAAGGTTCTCCGAACAATGCGATGCAGCAACAGCAACAACAGCAACAGCATCAGCAGCACCAACCTCAACATCCTCAAAACCCTCAGCAGCAGCAGCAGCAGCAGCAGCAGCAACACCAGCAAAACCAGCAACATCACCAACAACAGCAGGGTCAGCAACAGCAGCCGCCGCAACCGCAGAACCAGCAACAACAACAGCATCAGCAACATCAGCAACATCAACAACAGCAACAAGCTCAACATCAACAGCAGCAACAGCAACAGCAACAGCAACACGCCCAGCAGCAGCAGCAGCAGCACCAACAGCAGCAAGCTCAACAGCAGGCCCAGCAGCAAGCCCAGCAACAACAACATCAACAAACCAAGCCTCAACAACAGCAACAACAGCAGCACTATCCGACATCGCAACCTCAGTCACATGGTCAGACTCCTGCGGCTTCAGCGCACCAGCATTCGGCTTCCATCGCGTCCGTAACGACCCCGCAGACCCCGACATTTCCTCAACACAACCAAAACGCGACTGCCAATGGCACATCGTCGGTATCGACGCCCCTGAGTCCCGGCAGCGAGTCCCGCGAACAGGAGAGATTCTCATTGTTGTTGGAGATCAACCAAGAGCTGTTGTTCGAGTCGATGCAGCTGCAACATACGCTGAGCGAGTTGAAGAAAGAGACACCGGGGGAAGGAGATCAGGCGAGGAAACCGACCCAAGAAGAGGGGTCGGTTCAGCAGGACTACAGCCAGTGAGTGACCGAGACAGACATGTTGTGGAAAACAAGGGAAAGCTGACATCCTTTTTCACAGTTGTATGCGACGACTTCAAGCGAATCTTGCATACCTTGCCGCGTTGGCCGACCGCAAAGGAAACGTGCAGGTTCCTCCATCGCCCGCCTACCTGTCTTCCCCGCCGCTAAACATGGCGCTCAAAATCCGGAATTCAACGCCGCCGGGCGACATTCCCGAAAACAACCCCGACCCGATGACAGACCGCGAGGAACGATCCAAATACCTGACTGAGCTGTACAGAAAGCTGCAGGCGCTGTTTCCTCATGCGGACCCTAAGAAGGAGCCACCGTTCCAGGCCGCGGGCCGTCCTCAGGGTCAACCGGGGCAGCAGGGACAAGGTCAACGGCCGCCGAGCCACCACGCGAGCCCCGCCATGGCTCAAGCTCAACGGCCCATGCAAATGCAGAACATGCCCGGGGCACATCAGCAGCAGGGCATGTCTCTATCATGATCAAGGCGTGGGGAAGCTACTTGGATCGACCGCAGCGATTGGGTAACATGGCGGCGTTCAGGTCCCTAGGGTGATGTACAAAAAAGAAAAAAAGTCACAGTTTTGGCGCGGGTGGCGGACTTTCCCGCTGGCACCCTCGAAGTTGGAGAGAGCCGTAGCTGGAGATTTCCGCTCTAGACTTTTGTTGAGTTTTTGGAGCTGTACTAGGTGCAATTGCGCGGCGTTTGATGGATTTAGAGGAGGCCGTCAGCCAAGTTTGCATAGACTATACTCTTTGGAGCCAACGGAGTTGCGGCATACTGTGCGTCTTATATAAGGTTGGCATGGGGGAAGCACATTGACTGGAAAGAGGTGGACGAGACGAATTAAAGATTGGATAATGTACAAGGCCAAGCGCTGTGTCCTCTTGTCAATTGTCACTGATGTGTACTTGCTGGATCCTCGTGACGCCAGAATCCGATCGGGTCTGTTTTTGACTCGGGCCGGTGACAACCGATACCGAGACAGCTTCATCAACGGCCGTGCCATTGCTATGCGTTTCTTGTGGCTTTGCAGGCAATGCCTGACAATGATTGTGGTCACTAGTGGACGGGAATTTAGAAAAAGGTGCTGACGTGTGTGCCGCCAACATCAATTCTGCTTCTCTATTCTGTTCTTTGGCTGGATGACATTTCGATAGGCGTAGTAGATATATGCCCCACAATGAAGGATCTATGTATCTGTACTCGAGGTACACATATCCGTACGGAGGTGACGGGTATATCTCCCGGCTACTTCAGAGTCCGGTCCTATTGTGACAGAAGACCTTGTTCACACTTGGATTTTATCCGTAATGTGTCTCCGTACAGAGTTGCGCTTGGGGCTCTTGCGCAAGGACGAGAGGTGGCGGAAGCCGTAACGTAAGGAGACCTCATCTCGCGCTGGTCCCGAGTGAGTGGCATGCATACCTTACACGTCTGTGGGTTTCCAAAGGCCGTGAGCAGTCTCCTCCCCCTGTCTATCGTCATGGGAATTTGGGTATATGCAGTCTGCAGGATTATTTGGACTTGGGATGGAAACGTAGGGAATCTGATGGGAAGCGTGGAGATCTGAGACGTTGGTGGTGATGATCTCTATGGTCTCTCTACTAAGCACGCGTCCATCCGTGGATGATGTACGGAGTATATTCACAGGTCTGCTTCAATTTTGCTGTGAAGGCTCAAGGCCGAGGACCCTTTTGGTGAACGTCCCCCTCGTTGGGCTGGGCGTTTGTGGATGCGGTTGGGTACTCGGTAATACCCGGTAAATGGGAGGAGGAAGATGGGGGGGAGACAAATCACGAAATGATGAACTGTAGTGGACGTGTCCTCCGGCCTCCTAGGTGTTTAATTCCAGGGTTTTGTCATCCGGTGGGTCTTTTGGAGGTTGGACTGTTGGATATGATGGATTGCAGATGGGATCACGGAAATGTGCCTGCCGTCGTGCAGCACGCGTGGAAGCTTGTTTACCGTGCAGATAACCTGCAGGCAGGAGAGGCCCAGGAGGGAGCTCGGGGGAGGGGGGGGCTATGGCCCGTGATTGGATCGTTGACGGGCGCTAGTGGTGTCCCGTACCTTGCAGAAAGTGGCTGCTTTTTTTTCTCACGTGCCTTTTTTGCTGCTAATTTCGTCCGAGCTTTCGAGATGATTCGTTGTAAACTTGTAATTTTTGGTGTGGTCTGGTCAATTCAGCCACGGGTAGTCATTGGGTGCTTTGTTTCGTTGGTGCTGTTGATCTTTTCGAACCGTTGATGCTGGGAATAGGGGGTTGCTGATGAGAATTGGCATACAAACGAGGTGTTCATGATCAAGTACGGAGTACGGGGGACGGATACGGATAGGCGAGTGACGAGTGATGTAAACAATTCCCGGGTTACACGTCAGACAAGAGGGCGAATGAGCGCGTTGGATCTGTCCGGCGTCGCGGTTTTCGGTTGTGAACGACTACCTACCCCCGCCCCTTGGCCCTTGGGAAATTGAATTCCCCTCTCTTGCTATCCGACTCATATGAAAATGTTGTCATCAATTAAACGGTTCTTACCCGGGCATCGCGCTGTTTGTCAACTCCCTCCATGGCATCCGGGCCTGCCTATCTGCATACTAGGCAATGGTTATCCGTACTTCATACTCCGTACTACCGTAGGCATTGCATCTTGTTTGCAGACTCCCCTTCTCTCATGCCCGCCCTGTGTTGTGTGACCATTGAAATTCCAATCCTCAAACGACGAAAGGGAAGCGTGCAAGTGGTAAAAGAACATGCCACAGCTGGGCTCTAATTAGTTCCCTTTTTTTTTTCCTCTTTTTTTCCCCAGGACGGAATTTTCTCTCTGACCGCTCAATTACATTCCAGACCAGTCGAGATTCGCCCAATCCCCATTGCCAACGCAACCCAATCTCATCTGATCATCACCCGCTCTCCCCTCCTGTGTTGGCCCCCCCCCCCCCCCCCCCCCCCATCCCCCCCTGTCGCACATCCCGCATTCTTTTCTTGTCCATCAGACCAAGACTTTTCAGATCACCGCAGGAGCACCACCACCACCACCACCACCAAAAAACCGCCACTAAGCCCTTGGACTGGAAACAAACGCCTCTTGGTATCCGCGGTGATCTTAGGTAAAAGCACACTTGAGCTTCGGAAGCTACATACGCTAGATGGCTACTTCGTAGAGGAGGCGAACTCTTTGGCCCTGGCAACGTCTAAATTGCGTGACTGCTCAGCTGTGGCTGCCCTGCCTCTCGTGTCTCTCCGTTACCGCTTCCCCCTTCCAAAGTCCACGTCTCTCCCGGTGGCACAGGGCCTGTATTCGTACATCGAAGGTCCAAGTGAAGGAGTTACGGACAATAGAGGGAGAAGCTGCCTCCTGCTGCCGCTGCCGTAATCTGCGAGAATAGACCAAAGGTGCCTAGGAGAGGCTGCAATTGCTAATCGGCATCCACCCTGGGCTGCCCATCCCAGCGTTTCAGCGTCCTTGGCCCCTCGATGAAACGACATAACCACCCGACAATGGATAGGAGCACTTGACCAAGTTGACGCTGACGCGCCTGCAGGCCCAATCCCCTCCTGTCGCCGTCCAATCCTTTCTTGATTCTTTCCAGGTTGATTCTTCCAAGTTCCTGGTCTCCCTCCAGTTCCCATTCAACTCTGAAAGTTGGCTTACCTACTCACCATCACCCCCGACTTCGCTGGCGGCTCGTTCAAGGAGGCTATCCATCAGTGGATTCCACCCGTTTTCCTTTTTTCCCGCTGCTGCGCTGCCGTGTCGTTCGTTACCCGATACCCCCTTGCTCTCCATCGAACAAGGAAATCGTTGGAGGAGATATTTCGGGGGCCCAAAGCCACACCCACCCGCCGTTGCACCACCAGCCAGTCACTTTGTTGGACACAACCACCACAATCCCGCACCGAGTCTTGTTCTCTCTGCTTGCTGTGTTACCGCTGCCAACCTTGTGCACATCCCTGATCCGCATTGCCTGTGGCTTTCGAGCTCACTCTCCTGCCGCTCGCCCTCCTCCCCCTACCCGTTCGCAATTCATTGGGTACGACAGTCTTTCGGCTCGCGAGCCGCCCACCGAGAACGTTGAACCATATCGAGCCCTCGAATTCGGAAACTTGTCGAGAGACGAGATTGCCCTGCGATTTTATGAGTCTTGGAAACAGGGCCACGGCCGCGCGCACTCGTCGTTGACCGTCCTACGCATACTGTGGGATCCCCTTCGACGAGTCCACATTCCAGTCACCACTGTGATTTCTTGTTGCCAAAACACCAATCAAGCAGTTCGGGCGGCCTGGCCATGGACCTGGCGCTGCAGCAACGGGATGAGGCCGACCACAACACCGAGCTGACGCATGCCAAACCCGACACGAGATCCGCCGCCGCCGCCAAAGCCAACCAGGACGACGACGACCACCGGGAGACGACGCCCAAGATGTTGGCCCACGATTCCATGGTTACCGTCAGGCTTTCCGAGCCGCCTACCCTGACTCTCGACACCAATGTTGGCCCCGAATCCACCCCGAGGAGGAGACCCAGCACCGTCAGGATTGAAAAGCTTCCCTTCCCGACAGAGAGTCTAGAGGTCAAGGCTCAGGATCAGCCAGAGGACGAGACCGACGATACACCACCGAGTGACCCTACGACACCCTTACCTGTCACGAACGCTACCCGGAATCTTCAAGACGAGCTTGTGGACTGCGAGGACGAGGCCGAAGAAGAGGGAGACCGTATAACTTCACTACCAGCTAGGGGAACCCTTCTCGAGACGCCCATAGAATTCAAGAGGTCAGAGGTATACGAACAAGAAGAAGAAGAAGAAGAAGAAGAAGAAGAGGACGAAGAGGAGGTCAACTGGGACGAACTGCAGAAATCCGAAGCACAAGAACCTAGGGACGCGGATACAGACAGAGTAAGTGCATATTGTGGTACCCCCAACAACAGCAACTTTGTCGAGGCTTACAATTCCTAGTCTACAGCCATGTTGCTGGCTATGCTAGAGCAAGAGAACGATAAGCTGGCGACGAACCCCAAGACCATCAAAGTCCAAGCCGTGGAACAAGTGGCCGCTTCCAACCGCCCAAGACCACCATCAATGGCACAATTACGGCACATGGTCCACGGGCCAACACCACCGGCCTTGCGCTACTCGATGCTCCCGCCGCCGCCAATGACCGATCTCGAGTTTTACGCCGCATTGGTCAAGGACTATCAACAGACGGCAGCTCGATTGCCAACGCTTCTATCGAACAAGATACGAAAGGGCATCCCTCCTCCGCTACGAGGCGTCGTATGGCAGAGCATGGCAGGTGCGAGGGATTCGGCACTCGAGGAACAGTACGAGCGGTTCACGGGCGAGTCTAGTCCCTACGAGCCAATTATCGGCAAAGACCTCGGTCGGAGTTTCCCTGGAGTCGACATGTTTCGCGATCCCGAAGGCGACGGACAACGCATGCTCGGTCGGGTGCTCAAATGCTTCAGTCTCTACGATTCGAAAATTGGCTACTGCCAAGGGCTGGCATTTCTCGTTGGCCCTCTCTTGATGCACATGCCCGATAAACAGGCGTTTTGTGTTTTAGTCCGGTAAGTGTCAAAATCCCAAAAAGCAAACCCGAGCGGCCGCTCGACCCCACCTCTCCCGATTTCCTGGGAAAAGGGGTCCGAGAAAAAAGCAAATCAAGGGTTGGACGCAAATGCAAATGCAACGTCGAGGCTAACATTGAGATGGGCAGATTGATGGAACGATATGATCTGCGAAGCTGTTTCCTGCCAGACCTGTCAGGGCTGCATGTCCGCATCTACCAGTTTCGAGAGCTTCTTCGAGAGCACATGACACCAGTATCGAACCATCTGGAGGAATTGCAAGTCGATCCGGCGTACGTTTCACAATGGTTCCTCAGCTTTTTTGCTGTTACATGTCCCCTGCCGATGCTGTTTCGCATCTACGATGTCATCTTTGCCGAGGGGGCCCCGGAGACCCTGATGCGGGTCGCCCTATCCCTGATGCAGAAGAATCAGGCCCGGATTTTAGCGTGCACCGAGCTCGAGGATGTCATGCAACTTCTCCTTTCGAGGGGTCTGTGGGATTGCTACCATTACAACGCAGATGAGTTTGTGCAGGACTTTGTCAGTTTATCGGGCGTTGTCACCAGAGAGACATTGCTATCGTTGGAGCAGGGGTACAGAGACGCGCAAATTGCTAGCGCTAATGCGGCGCGTTCCTCCGACGTGACCACTGCAGCCTCCCGATTCCTCGGCCGCATTTGGGCTTCCTCCACCATCATCTCCCCGAAGTCCTCCTCCACCCTCAGCCCGGGCCTCATCGCTCCGTCACGGCCTTTGAGCATGCTGCGCAGGAGCACATCGAAGCAGAGCCTGGCCTCCACCCTCAATTCGATGGAAGCCAGCTCCGTCAGCGTTCTCAGTTCTGCATCCACCGAAGCCACCTCCGTCTCCCGAGATTCATCAAACACCGACAGCGCATCCATCCGCGAATCGACCCCCATCCCCAGCGGCAAGGCCTTCAATGGCGGCAAGAACAACAAGGAGAATGCATTGCACACCCAGATCGAAGACCTCCTCACTGCATTGACCGAATTGCAACGAAACCATGCATCACTCGCAAACGAACTCGAAAAGGAACGGGAACAGCGCGAGGACGATAAGCAAGCCGTTCGGTCGCTACTGGACGGTCTGCGCAAGAAGGCCAGCAACGACTCTGTCGGTACCGATGCGAGCGTCGATACTCTCAAGGCGACTGATGACCCCGCAAATGAGGCACGCGAGGGAGGCGAGGGAGATGTGTCCACTGCCAAGACCAGCGAGCAGCAGGATGGTCCCTCCCCAGGAGACCTATCTCAACTCCTCGATAACGTCGAAGAACGATTCGGACGCCATGGTAGCGGCAGCGTCGAACGCCGGATGTCCAGAGGCGAATCCAAATCGCAAATGCAACAGGAATTGCAGCAACTCAAGGATCAGCTCGCCAGCGCGGTATCGCAATCACAGGACTACAACCGGAAAATGCACGACCTGGAACAAGAAATTACCACCCTAAAAGATCAAGTGCGGGAATCCCACTCGCACACACGCATCTTGCACCAGGACAAACAGCGACTGGAAAAGCAAATACACACGATGAGAGCGCGGGCATCTGCCGCCGGTGCGGAGAGTAATACTCAGCCCGAAGGTGACTCGCCTGTGAGGAAGAGTTCCGCCAGCGGTGCGAGCGGCTTGAGAGAGTTGAAACTTGGTAGGAGCACGTCGACTCCATCTCAAGCTGGATCGATATTCAGCAAGCGTTCCTCGTCAATGCCAAAGCCTCACGACTCGACGCCGCCACCGACGGATGACCAACATGAGGCATTGTTATTGCAGCTCGTTGAGGCCAAGACTTCCGAAGCTATAGCTAGGCAAGAGGCCGAAGAGACAAAACAGAAGCTTGAAAGCTTAAGAAAGGCGTATAGTCTCGTCACCGGAGAGCCGTCGCAGTCACATCCTGCGACAACGGCGGCAGGAACGGCAGCATCAGCTGCCATGGGCGTCTTTGGTCGCCTTACAGGAGCAGCGGCAGAGCCCGCCAAACCTGCCGCGCCGACGCCCGCCCCAGCAGCAGCAGCAGCAGCAGCAGCAGCAGCAGCTCCCGCGCCCGCGGCGGGAGGATTCTGGGGTTGGAGGAGATAATCAGGATCCGTTCGACCTCATTCACGACCACATCGGCGTTCCAAACACAACAAAATTAGAGGAGCATTCGGAGCATCTAGACCATTTTGCATTCCGGTTCTGGCAACGGGTACCAGGCCCGTCTGCTTGTCGTAGCTTTATCACTGCATTCTCAATAACAGGGCGAGATGGCGGCTTTTTGCATCTGTGGAAGTAGGCCTCTGCTCCACACGCCTGGGGGAGCATTTTTCTACTTCTTCTTCTTCTTCTTCTTCTTCTTCTTTCGAAACAAACAACCCATTGCATGGCATTGGCATTCTAGACTGTTTACTGATTTTTATTATTCCATTCATACCATTCATGGCATCGGAGTTGAGGAAAGGGCCACTGTCCAGACCCCGACGGCTAGAGCGGACGGAAACTCGTCTCCGCCCTTTATGAAACTAGGGATGTCCGTCGGCCCCATTTGTTTTTTTTTAACACCCTCTCTCTCCCCCCTCCCCCTCATGAGCAGAGAGGGCCTGGAGGTGACTGTTTTGGGGGAGAGAGGACTTTTTTGTCACGTACAGATAGTATCAGAATACCAGTGGGAAGAAATCCAAAGTCATGAAGGATAATAATCAACACCATGAACTCACGATACGCTGCAAAGTGAGATTGAAGATGTGTCCTTTCGGTCTTGATTAGTTTTTGGGCGATCTATCATCTGGGAGAGAACTCCGTAAGCCTGCAAGGTAGCTGCTCAGTGCTAGCTACCCTTATCAGTGGTCTGTGAGTATACCCATGCGGCGAACCCCTTTTTCAATTGACCCGTTTTGGCAACATCGTGGGTCTCTGATGTTGCATCTGCAGCAGTTTTGAGTTTGCAGCGTTTGCTTGGCTTTTTTGGGCTCCCATATCCGTAAACCCATGTCATCCATACCGGGCGGCGGGGAGCCTCAGGTGTGGCGGTGCGATGCTACGATGGTGGATGGTGTTGTATTTTTCCACATGTGAAAGCTGTGGCGCAGGGACTGGGATATTGCTGGTTGAGAAGTTCAAGTTGCTATGGTAAGGAGTGGATTTCGGGAGGAGACGAAGAGCAAAAGAACAGAGCTATTTTCATGCTCTGTTTACTTTTTTGATATATCGTTGTCCAAGAGACTGACTGATGGATCACTTTTGGGGGATGGGGGGATATGGATTTTGGTATTCTTTCTGCTTGCTTGAATGATTTTATCGTGTGCGTTTGACCGAGACATTCTCGCATAGGAGGTTTTGGAAGCCCTTTTCTCGGCTGGATAGATGCAGCAGCCACAATTGCCATACCTTGGATAACGAGGGTACACGTGGTCTGAAGAAAGAAAGCTCTAATGTTGGATGTCACTTATAGTCTGTCAAGCGTCAAGCGACAAAAAGTCATCGTCCTTGCAAATCCATAATCTATCAATCGGCGCCAGCGTTTGGCACGTGTAAAGGCGCGGGCCTGGAGCACGCGCGGCAAAGACCGGGCGTTCAGATCCGGTTCACGGCCGGTTGGTCGCGGGGGACGGACGGCCGGTGCGAGCTACGACTGAGGGTTTTTTGTGGCTTGTATGCGGACGGAGAGAAAAGTTCGCCTGACGGCTGTAGCTTCTTGTTGTTAATTGGGGCCGGTAGCCCGTTGCTTGGTGCTTAGGCCGTTGCTGGCGGCGGGATTATAGTGAACTACCTTGAGGTAAGGTAGCCCTAGCTGTCGTATCTCGGAGGTTATTAGTGATCTGCTGGCAGCTCGTTAGCTGTCAAAATGTGCTTGGGATGTCCTGGATCAGAAGGTTGGGCGTCTGAGCAACGGATAAGAAGGCTCTTTGAGGTGGTAATGTTTGGTAGGGCCAAGGTGATATCGTGAGTTTTTTGTTTTTGGTTGCGTACGGATAGTGCTTGGGTGGAGGGGCTGAAAATGGACGGGCCACACGGCGGCGCTAGGGGAGTGGGTAGCTTGTGAAGCTAGGACCAGGCTCCCTCTTCCCTCTCAATGTGTTCTGTGTGCTTCTCCAACCTCTTTGGGCAATGTACTACGAGAGGAGGGTTGGGTGAATGAACAGGCTGGCTTCTTTGGTAACCTGGAACGGGAATACGGTGGCTTGCATGCGTGGCCCGTCTGTAGTTGTGGCACGGTGATGAGGACACAACGGCCAGGCGCTGAGGTGAAGAGGCGAGAGGGTGGCTGGCAGCATCAGATATCAGCGAAATGCCATGGTTTCAGGATTTCCAGGATTTTTGACGTGCTCCCCGGTCGCTTCAGCCGCTGCGGTCACTAGTGTAGGCGGAATACCTGGTGGGCAGCTAATTCTAGACTTCTACGGAGTACGTAGTATCAGCAAGAAGACTGGGAGCAATGGGAGCAAGAGAGAGAGAAATGCAGGAGCACGTCACATGCCGGCTGCATAGCTAGCGCCCAACGATGGATGCTACGCGGTGGGATGACGCCAAAGACGGAGGGGAGGGGGAGGGGGAGGGAAGACCGACATGATACATCGTCATTGGGTCCTTGGGGGCGGACGATTTGTATGGCGACAGAGCCCCTTGAAGCGCGTCTTGGGAGCCCCTTGGGAGCCCCTTGGGAGGTAGTCGATGGGTACCGAGCGATTGGTTGCTGTGGCATAGCTTTTGCGTCATCACAGGTCGGAAACCAAGCTGGGTACGCAGTAACGTACGGGCACTAGCCACACCCCGACCCGCCGCCCCTCTCCCTTTTTTCGTTCTCCGTCTGCGTGCTTCGTGCTACTGCTGCGTGTGCTTGCCGTCCTCTCTCCACCATGCAGTCATTGGTATTGGTGCTGCAGCGCGATAGTTGAGTAGGTGTTCGTATACCGGTGGTGTAAAATTGGTGCAGGACGAGTAGGTAGTCGAGGGTGAAATAAGGTAAGGGAGAGAAAGCTCCTCTACGTGGGTCTTTTCCCCGGCTAGTAGGTCCTGTTTGGGAGACAACGGCGTCACTGCCTCTTTCCCAAATTCCCAGACGGGACGGAGGTGACGGACTGATGGAGTTTCCCATTGCTCCTCGGGTCCCTTCCTCAGTCCTGGGCTACCTATCGCTGTCGTTTTGCTCCTTTTGCTCCTTTTGCTCCCGCTGGCTGGCCCGTCGCCGCCCTGGGCTTGTCCTGGCCTGGCGTTGGCACGGACGCTCCCCGGTGGGCTCTGCTGTGCTCCTTTCTTCTTGATCTTCATTTGCATCACTGTCATACCCAGCAGCAGCACCAGCACCGCCAATATTCGTACCTTACCTGCCTACCAACCGGGCCACCTCTCACACAAAGTCTTTTTTTTTTCTCCTCTCCCCCTTCCCTGCCCGTGCTTTTTTCCCTGGCCTTCCACCTGCTGCTGCCAGTCTTGCACCCACCGTGCCACACACTACCTACTTGGACCTTACCCACCCACACAATCACAAACACACGCCCTCACCTCTCAGGTTTACACCTCTGCCTGAGCTCCCAGACCTACCTACACACATACATCATTGCAACAAAAACACCTGGCCTTCCTCTCCTCTCCTCATACCTGCCCACCTACAACCCTTTTTTACATCTCAAGAACTTCTTCATACCCCAAGATTCTGCCACTTGCTTCTTACCAAAGCTTCCCTCTTCCATTCCGCGCAAGCTTCCATTTCTTGAAACGCAACCAAGGTAGCTTTCTAGCAACTCCACCATCACACGACACCTCCCATCCGCAACTGCCCGACCGCAGTCTTTCGTCTCCTAAACAACAACACCACACATACACCGCCAGAAATCTCGCTGCGATCACACACAATGTCTGACTTCCCGGACGCCCCGACCACGGCTCCCTCCGCCAACGGTACTTCCTACATTCAGGCTACCAAGGAAAGTAAGGTACGTTATCGCTGTCCCCCGAGATCCCGCCATTCCCGCTCCAGATCTGCCCTCCATAGGATCCTCCGGCTAACTTGTATGAATAGTGTTTCAAGCTTCAATCCCCATCTCCAGCGACTCCGATAAGCTAACCATTCCCTTCCAGACGCTGCCGCTGCCTACCAGCAGGTTGCTACCGGTACGTCTTGTTTCCCCACGTCTCCCATGACGTCTTTGTGGCGCATCGTCAAAATACTGACCAGAATTCTCCCTTTCAGGCCCCGTCGCCCAGAGTGTCAAGGACCAGTCCGCAAAGACCACAAATGAGTTCGGCAACCTCGCTGCCTCTCGCAAGACCCCCGCCAACCCTGCTGCCACTGGCCAGCCCTTGACTCACTACCACTCCTTCTTCTTCGAGCTTATCTCGTGGAACAACCCTCGTACGTGATAGTTCGGACTCCTTCTGTGCCTCCGACCCCGACTGACAAACCAACCCCACAGGCGCCTCGGCCATTGCCTACTCCTCCATCGTCGCCCTCATCGTCGCTGCCCGTTATCTCGATGTTCTGCGATACAGCTTGAAGCTCACCTGGATGGTGCTCGGCACCACCGTTCTTGCCGAGGTCGCCGGCAAGCTCGTCCTTAACAACGGCCTTGCTACCCAGCTCCGCCCCAGACGCTACCACGTCATTCCTAGAGAGACGCTCGATGCCGCCATAGGAGACGTTCACGAGCTGGTCAACTTCTTCGTCATTGAGGCTCAGCGCATCGTCTTCGCCGAGAACATTGGTGCTTCTGCTGCTGTAAGCTGCTCGCGTGACATTCTCCACATTTCTTGACATCATTGAGACTGACGCAATTGCTTGCTACAGGCCTTCATCGGTTCCTTCCTTGCCTACTACCTCGTTAAGATTGTTCCCTTCTGGGGCCTTTCTCTGATTGCCACCACGGCGCTCTTCATGGTCCCTCTTCTCTACACCTCCAACCAGGAGCTCATTGATGCCCAGCTCAACCGTGCCGGTGAGGTGATCAACCAGCAGACGAACCAGTTCCGCACTGTCGCCAGCAAGCACACCGCTGAGGCCACCAACATCACCAAGCAGTACATGGGAGACTACACTGCCAAGGCCCAGCAGCTGCTCGGCCGCCGCTCTGCCTCCCCCGAGGCTGTTTCCAAGCCCGCCCCTG